TTTTAGGGGCAAGCCCCGGCAAATGTCACAATTTGACATTGTGATTTCCTGGGAAATTTACGTATTAGACGGTTCGGAACAACAGTATAAGCGTAATCCCTTCGTATTCGATGACTTGATTGGTATTCATTGGTGCTACTGATAATCGTTGTCGGGGGCTGTTGGTTTAGCACAGGCTATACTATTGTTTACTGCTCTATTACTTACTTGATACTTGAATGACCCGTCCTCACTGGTTGTGCGCGCCTCAGCATAATCTCCATTTTTCGGAGATTTGCAGGTTAAACCATTATGGTTCCCTGGAGTCCCGACGTCAGCCTAGCCAAAGTCTGTCCCAGGTCTTCACCACCACGGGCAGTAGCAGCTCTTGTGGATCAGAGGGAGATTTACCACCATGCGACTTTGATACCAGGACGGTGGTGGATCCTAGTATTGGTTTACTCATAGCTAGGTTTCCTGATGGAAACGCCGGACTCCTCATCTTGGGAGACCCTGCTAGGGGATGAATCCTCCGCTGTACATCGCAGTCCGACACCCACGAACACCTCCCAGCCACGATGAGGCGATAAACCGTTGGGATTTCTCTGACCCTCCACTATCAACTTAGCAACCGGAAAAACTTCAAAACAAAACTGTTAGAGGACAAAACGCTCAGTTGATCCATCCCCTAGAGGTCCGCTGTGCATTTGCCTCAATTCGTGGCATCGTGGAGGTGATTGAACACTGATTTGGCCTATACAATGACTTGCGGGATCCTACTGGTTAACCAAATCAGCGTTTTTGTTCCTCCAAAAAAGTCTAGTGTCAGATTGCCGATCCGGAAACATGGGAGCTTTGTTAGCTCAGGGTGTGAGAAACTAATCAGCGCCTACAATTATTTTTGATTCCTAACTGCGATTGAATATCGGTTCTAAGGAAACATCACTCAGTTGTACGAAAACATTCTATTACACTTTTTATCCTTTTGTTCGTTCATTCCTTGACTGTCATCGTTTCCTACTGCATCATTGACTTAGAGTATTCATTTCATTTCCATTTACCAGTGCCAGTCTTGCTAGCTCATAGTGTATTGATCGGTGTTCGTTACATATCAGAGTATTTCTCGCAAGTTGAAGATATAAAAGATAGTTTCCGGCTCCATAGTGAGTTTTTTAATGTTTTACCGTTTATTTTGATGAGGTTGGACCAATGTGTTAAGTAGGTGTTGATGGTTCAGTGCGGCAAGACGTAATTTGTAGAGGTGCTCTGGTTCTTACACAAAATGACATTGACATCGTTTGGTGGTTATAATTAGTGAAAGGTCACCATGACTATTACGATTACTAGGTCAACTATGAACTTAGCTGCACCTGTATACCTTTGTCTTATATCCCTAGCATTCGTCTTTCGCTGAAACCGACGAGGTCTAGTAAGTCAATATCGAATCTACCTGACTATTGGTCCGATAAGACCACTATTGGTCGATTTTAAATTAATGAAGCGTCACTTCTTAGGTGGGAAATGGACTAAATGGGAAGTGATTCCATTATGGAGAAAAACGTACATAAATCTTTCTAGATGTAAATTTCCGGCTCTATCGACCTGAACAATGGCTAGGGCTATTTATCTTTAGGAGCTTGAACTTATATGTCAGTGTTACATAGTAGGATGTCAGCAGTAGCCTAACCACTATGTTTCGTCGGTTCGTTAGCTTTACGACAATAATGAACTTACGAGCAAACGATGCTGTTGTCTTCGCAGGCACATTGCTGTGGGCAGTTTGCAAGAACTCTAATGAGTTCCAGACCCCATAAATGTAGAATCACCAGTGAGGTAACAAGTCTGAATTATTCCATTTTTTGAGTTTTAGGTATTTCATATGGTTTCTAACAAAAAAAAGATAAAGCTGTCGACATTGACCAATCCCTGAGAGATGCGCCGTATATTCGACTTTAACATTAAGCGTCTTTATAGGTAGTGCATATATGACCTATACGGTAACTTATGCTCTGGCGCAGTGATGTGTCAAGTCGGTGCTGCCATCCTCCTAAACAAGTCTGGAACCAAGCAGCTGGTCCAAGGGAGATGAAAAGCTCGGTGAGACCTGGGCGATGGGTCGAACGAGTAACCTTTGTGTACTGAAGAGCACCTCTAACAACTGCACTGCACGTACCCCTATTGTGTAATATCCATAAATACGTGGTGGTACTTTATTATAGAGCCTTCAAAATTTAGATTTTATGAACCTTTTAGTGTGGTAATCGCCTCTGTAACTTATTATGGATTTATAGAAGATGAAATCAGATGTCCCTCCCAACGGTTTACCGTCTCATCGTGGTTCGGAGTTGTTCCTGGGTGTTGGACTGCGATGTACATTGGAGGATTCATCTCTTGGCAGGGTCTCTCAAGCTGAGAAGGAGTCTGGCGTTTTCATTAGGAAACCTAACTATGAGTAAACCAATACCAGGATTCACCACCGTCCTGGTATTAAAGTCGCATGGTGGCAAATTTCCCTCTGATCCACAAGGGCTGCGACTGCCTGTGGTGGTGAAGACCTGGGGCAGACTTTGGCTAGGCTGATCTCGGGATTCCAGGGAAACACAATGGCTTAGCCAGCAAATCTTCGAAAAATGGTGATTGTGCTAGGGCCCGCACAAGTAGTGATGACGAGCCGTTCAAGTATTAAGTATCAAGAAATCAGATGTCTTTGTTTCGCAACCATCACTGCCATGTGGAATGTCAGTTATGGGGATACAATGAGTTTGCACTCTGTCGCTAGTTACATTTCGATGTATTTCTTGAATAATCGTTTTCGCATTGCCGTTTCATTCCATTCAGATGCGGATTGACAAAATTAAGTTGCACAAGAATTATTACGCGTTGTTATCCTTGAAATCAGGTCGACGACGCTCACTCATCTTCATGTATGAGCAGCAAAGTAGGCCTCATGCACTTTAAATCATGTCATCTGAGGATTTGTCCCGTGGCATTCTAATGGCTTGCCATTTTTGGTTAGGGACTCCAAATCCTCATTGAACTATGTTATGACCCATAATCATTGATTACACTTCGATCAGCTCTCGTTTTTCAGTCGTGGAGTGTTGATAAAATTTCTCCTGCGCAGATCGTATAGGGTTCAATCGCTTACATGATGGATGAATAGTTACTGTGACTGTGACTGTAGAGTTGGGAACCATTTCTTGTGCTAAATTTCTGTGTAATCAAAGCTCGAATGTACTGTAAACCGGTATTTTTGCAAGTTTTCAGTTATACACAAAAGGACAATACAAAAAATGTTTTCACCGATCGAGAGAAACGAGGTGTACGATCAATACTCCAGACGGTTACTGCGCAAAAAGAGCTTGTTTCTTTGTTTGATTTTGTTGCTGATTCCATTGGTGGTCACTTGCAAGTTCTTATACTAAAATGCTACACCAGACTTACATTGATCACAGAGAGATCTTAGTTGATGTATAAAGATAGAAAGATTACGCCTTCGGCATTGATCAATGATCCCTTGGAGATAAGCCTTGCATTCTACTTCAACAAGCACAAGTATAGGTGATTTGATGCACATCTGGCCTATACAACGACTTACGGCAGCCTATCGATGTATCAAGTCAGTGCTGCTATCGTCTCAGACAAGTCTTGAAGCAATTTGCTAAGCTCGAAGGGATGGAAGGCATGGTAATCCACCGACGGTCGAACCAATTACCGCAAGTGCATTGTAAGGGTGTATTGCAAGACACCTCTAAGCGCTGAGCTGCACGCATCCAAGTTTTTGAATATCCTAATACAAATCTCCAGATTTAACCGTATTCCGTTTCATGTTGAACTACAGAGGAAGTCCGGCAACTTTGGCTAGGTCCTACAGTTTTAGTCTACAGTATAGCCACAGATGTTTTTCTGTCATATACTAGCTGTTCGATGCCCTTTGTTGTGTACTGTGGCGACTACAATGTGAGGAATTCGTTGATGTTGTCTTCATGTTGTGTCTGATCGTCGAAGCTTTGTCTCGGTGGTGACTATCGAGGTTCGAGGTCGGGGTCAAAAAGAGGTGGAAAGGGTTCATCTTTAGCATAATTTCGAGCTGTTGAATACCAACAAGAAACTGTGGTCGTTCTGTAGGTGAATTTCCAAGAGAAAGAAAACTTCAAGTTGATGAAGATTGTTGTTGTAAAAGTGATTCCAGACGCTTAATCCTAGCAATGTAAAGCTTTGTGCGATATCCGATTTTCTCTATAAAAAATGTTCAACCAACCTCATGAAGTTTAGCCGATTATGATGTGATCAGTAACTAGAAAGCAGCGGACAGCATTGGAAAAGAGAATATGGAGTGGTAGTGATGAAGTCATTCGTCTTAAGCTTCATAATTACGCATAGTGGGTCAGTGTGCATAAGTTATTGGGCTGAGACACCAAGGACAAGGAGGAGAATTCGGTCACATTTCCTCCCGACGGCCGACATATGACTGAATAGGTTGTCTGATGAAGTCAAGCCAACGAAATGACCACTGAACTGCCTGCGGTAATCAAATCAGCGCCGCCGTGGTAGTTGTCGCAAGCCATTCTTAGTCGTTTTCAGGACATGTTCGTAAAAATCAACCATGAGTTCTTCTTGCTATGAATATTCAACATTTTTTAAGCTCAATAAGCCCAACCCTAACAGGCAAATTATTTTTAGAACAATAGCTTTTGGATCGTCTGCATAACATTTCCTATTGGTTCAGTTACAGTCTTTGTATGGTTATTGCTGTGGATTTCTTCCGATGTTACTATTCCGACTTCATTTCCATGGATTAGGAGCTAGAGTAGTGACCTATAGATGCCAAAATAACGATATAGAAATTTTCCCGCCTCTTCATCACAGCCTCTGTTACACTTTGTTCTCTAACTTCTTCACATTGCATCTAATGCTCATATTGATGTAAATTATTCAGATAAGTCACAGATCATCGTACTGTTTCGGACACCATTCGTCTACACGGTTAGCAACCACCTGATTTCCCGACTCCGTCGATCATGGCATGGCGATTTCAGGCTTCGAAATTCAAGAATACCACGCCTCACGTACCTAAAAAAGAGGTTGGCATTTTGTCTCTTTATTTACCGTTTTGTCTTTTTACAGTCGATGCCATACGTTTCACGAGAGCCTTTGTTCTTTTTTCCTTCATTGCTTAAGTCTTCTTTGATGTTTTCATCTATGTTCAAATATCTATTTATTTGTTCTGCAGTGTTTTTTACACATTTTTCCTAACCTAGGACACAGTTTTCGACTTGCCTATCGGTAATCTTTGTTGTTCAAATAATGGTATTCAAGCCAGTGCTAGCTATTTGGCATTCCATGTCGAAGGAGAAGGTGATCTGATTTGGATTTGTCATTTCATTCTATTTTGTCTTCACCGTCGTTTAAAAGATGGGCATTTTTTACCCAGTTTCAAAGTCGTCTTTCACACTGGTTTAATGGTCTCTGTTATTCAACCCGGCGGGTGTGGTTCAGTGTTCGGAGGCGCCCTGCACTACACATGGGATCGATTCCCGCGCCCCTGGCCTACAAAGCCTTCCAGGCCTCCGTAGTAGCAAATTGGTGCCAGACTTATCTGGGTGGTTACCAGCACTGGCTCGATACATCGGCAGCCTACTGCGAGTCACCGGAAGGGCCAGATGTGTATTCAGTCACCTCCAGATGATGCTTAATGAAGTCGAATGCATGGCGCCTCCCTAAAGGATTCTTGACGAACGCCGAGAGCTTTATCCTTTATCGTTACCATTTTGCCAAATTTCAGTCTTATTAGAAGTCTTTTAGGAGGCAAACTTGGCGCTTTGCCTATAGGCACGAAAGGGAGGAAATTGCGTAAGGATATATCTCTTCTTTGTGCCCACAGCGGTAAGTTGTATGCTGATAATGTTGTTTTTGTATTACTAAATCGTTATTCCAGTAGTCTACTGCTTTAACAATTCAGATCAAGTAGATGACTTCTGCTTCATGACCTTTGATGATGACTTGTTAGTAACGTGTAGCAGAGATGATAGTGTGAGTTTTTAAGATAAAACATTCACGTTTATCAAAGTGAAACATACATGAAGAATGTGCTGGAAATAGTCCTTGATTTTATACCCATTCTAAACTCCTTTAGTAATAGATTCGCCATCTTTCAATGCATATGTGGTAGACAAAAATTTTCAAAGCTTACTAATTGAATGTAAAACCGGTGGAATCTAAAGATTCTTGGGAGTAAAATGCAAATTTTCTTGTTGTACATAAAGTATAAAGGATAAAGCTGTCGGGGTTGATCAATCCTTAGGGAAGCGTAATGCATTCGACTTCGTTAAGCATCGTTTGGAGGTGATTGAGTGCATATCTGGCCTTTACAATGAATCATGGTGGCCTATCGATGTATCGAGTCAGCGCTGCTATCCTCCCAGACAAGTCTGGTACCAATTTATCGACCCCGGAAAGATGTAAAGCTTGGTGGCCAGAGGCGTGGGAATCGATCCTATGTGTATTACAGGGTGCCTCCGACCACTGCGCCACACGCATCACCTCACCTCCAACGATGCTTGTTGTACATACCAGAATAAAACTGGATTTCCTGAAGCACATAATTATTTTTTCGCTTTCTTGGTCGACGTTTATGTTTTAGAAGAGAAAATTTGGTAAGAAGAAATGTGACGGTGAAGCCGCGAAATTTTAGGATTTTCAATTATGAATTTTAAAACTTTTAACACTGAATAAATGTTTTAAAGGAAAGTTGTGCGCAATTTTACTTATTATTTACTGCCTATTCTTTTTAAATGCAAGGTATATTGCGAAATATAACTTTCAATGATGCTGAGATATTTGCAAAACTCCGGACCGCATGTGTCTGCGGTGGGGAACGAACGCGCTATCGTCTTTTCCGGGGAGTAACGCGTTCACCATCGATAGAACTAGCTGAGAAGCAGGTGAAACGAAGGACCCACATGGTGTGGTGGTGAACGCATTACTCCCCGGAAAAGACAGCGCATTCGTTCCCCACTGCAGACACCTTCGGTCCGGAGTTTTGCAAATATCTCAGCACCATTGAAAGTTGTACGCACTTGTAGCAATAGACTAAAGTCGCTTCTCTGCCGTAGTTATCGAAGGATTTGACAGCTGTCGAAACAATGTTAACATCTTATTTTCTGCCTGCTATAATTTTTCACAGCGGAGTACGATGTGAAAAAAATTATTGAAATTTTCGAAATCAAATGAACGACATTCATTTTCATTGCCTATTGTCATTTTAGATGAAAATTTGGCATCTTTCTGGTGAGATGGCAACACCCTTTCTGAGATGTGAGGTGTGTATTGGACACGGTGTGCTTTTGGATGCGATGAAACCACACACGACCGCATCCAATCTTATCGCCGCCACATCTCTGAGCAATGCCTTCATCATTGATATCGAACACAAATCGGTGATCGCACGTGAGACCGTTGAAGAATTTGGGAATCTTTATGAATATTCATTAGTGAAATTCACTGTCGTCTTGATGAGCAAACGCGATGTTGTTATTCCATTCTTTATTTACGAACTAGCTTTTGTTTCGGCGGATTTCGCCCTCTTTAGAGCCTTCTTTTACTTTCAGTGCGGTTGAAATTCTGGTTCAGTATTTCCTCTGTTTTGGTTATGAAGGTGGTTAGCTGGCTAGTTTGTAGTCAACTCCTTTCCAGACTCGGAGGAAAAGGAAATCCTTCGAAATGTCAGCTTGTTCGCCAATGAAGAATAACGTACAATCTTGTGTTTGCTCATCAAGAGAACGGTGGATTGTTCAATCAATGCCGGGGTTAATAGTCGGCCGTGAGAGTTACTACAAGACTCAATAGTGTTTCTGTGTAGTGGTGGTGATGATAGTAGGTAACTGATTCGAAATATCTGTAGTCGAAGATGAAACATAAGTGTAATTCTGCTGTGATCGAATTTCCTTTCTGTCGTTAGTGATGACCTTTTTTACTGTAACCGATCCATGAAAGTTGTCTATGTTATCTACATGTAGACAGATTACGTCATCTTCAAAATAGTGCAATTTTAAAATGTTTTATATGATGTACTAATTTAATTCTTTGTAGAGGTTGATGGATTTAGTGACAAAGGTTATTCACTTGATTGGAGTGAAGACGGGAAGTTATTAGCTATTAGCGCTGATAAAGGACGTCAGGTGAGCAAGTGTTATTAGGTTTATAGGTAAGGAAATTCGGATTTTGCAAATCTTTTCTTTTGTTCCACTTTTGATGAAGGTATTTTGTTTCTTTGCATTCTACGGTCTCAGAAGTCTCTGCTACTTCTTACTGTATTCTTATTCCTCTTTATTTCTTCAACTTTCAAATTTTTTAATGGTGCTGTTTTATGAATGCGTCGTTTTCTTGTTCAGCAATCGCGAGGTTGTTATACAGCATACATAGAGAAAACAATACAATACAACAGTAGCTGACGTTTCGGCAGTATCGTCTTCTTCAGAGCCTGGAAGGGTATGCTGGCATACAATTTGCCAGGCCAAACGCTTCAGTAACACATTCAAAAAATCGGAAAACCCTTTGGAAATTACATGATCAACAGCTTTCGCTTTAATGTGACTTCCACTGAGGAAGATTAGAACAGCTGATTATAGTCGCATATGGTTGATGACTGCACCACCCCACATTAGAAATGCGAATATACGGGGTCAAGTCGCGTATGGCCTCGGGGCATTGCTCCCTACTATTCATTTTAGGGTTTTCGGATGTCAGTTAGTTCTTAGCCGCCTCTATGACTGTCTATGTGAAACAACAAATTGCGTAATTTGCCCTTATGGCATGGACTGTGATTGTATGAGTTTAGGTACGATATACCTGATCCCTTGTAATAATTGCAGAGATGAATATGGGCGAAACGGGCAGAACTTTGTGTATCCGTATAAAAGAACACCTAGATGGCAAACGATAACTAAGACAAAGTACCCCACTAGGCACGCATTGAATACAAAAGCATAGCGGAGACGATTTTGAAGTAAAAGTCAATATCCTTGCACAGGAGACTAAAACACCAGCGCGAAAACTTCTAGAGGCTTTTGGATAAATGCCATGAACCCTAAAATGAATTGTAGGGGAGAATGCCCAGAGGTCACACGCGATCTGACCCCGTATGTTCGCATCGATTTTTGATATGGGATGGTGCAGTCGTCAACCACATGCGACTATAATCAGCTGTTCCAATCCTCCTCATTGGAAGTCACGTAAAAAGCGGTGAGTTTTTCGAGAAGCTGTTGACCATGTAATTACCATAGAGTTTTTCGCCCTTTTGTAAGGGTTATTGAAGCGTTTCGCCTAGTAGATAGTATATCAGTATACTCTTCCAGGCTCTGAAGAAGGCGATACTGCCGAAAAGTCAGCTACTGTTGTATTGTATTGTGTTTTTCCATGGAAGGAAATGTATGCGGTATAACAACCTCGCTATTGCTGAATAAGAAAACAACGCATTCATATTCCAATGCCGAGGTTAATAGAAAGTCGATCCTGGGTACTGTTTTAGATGTGGATTGTTGCAAGTTAGAGATTATACATTCTTTAGGCGGATCCTACGTACTTCTTAGGACGTTTAACAGGTTTTGCACCAACATCGTTCTTTGTATCTGTAGTGCTATAGAAGTCATCTACAGCATCTCTATCTATCACTGACCGTAGAATGATCCAGCCGGTGTCAACAAGGTTTCAGATAAGGCTTGCTAAGGATTCTCAGTAGACTCGACTTGTTCGAGGGACACAAAGAGGATTATATCTCCCATTCAAGGTCTTTGTGAAAGGCTACTGGTGGCTTTTGCTTTTGTTCTCTTGCTTTGGCTGAATACGGTTGTCGACAGCTTAAGTCCAGGGATTGTCGCATAGACGCAAGTAGTATCAAATCCTATTGATTTTTGTCATGTTGGCGTAGCCTGCATCTCCAATCTTAAGTCGTCAACGTCGTCTCTGTAGAACTATGCATGTTCAGACCTAGGTGCGCGTGGCTTTTCGGCTTCATATTGGTTCAAATTATTTTTTTAGGGAGCCATTTGTTTTCCTTGTTGATTTTGTCGTTAAGGATTTCCGTAGAAGCTGGACGAAAGGAAGAAACCAAACTTACCAAAGCATAAAACTGTTTGCTTAGTTTTCATCTTTTGAATAGATGGCCCAATCCCGCGTTGAAGCGTAAACATCGTGATCAAATGGATAAAGCTATTGATTAATCATCATATAGTCGACCTAACGAAATTATGCTGGCACCCGCACAACCAGTGAGGAGGTGCCATCGAAGTAGCCAACCAAGCAAATCCAATCTGTGATACCACTCGTTGGTGGACACTCCCATCCAATGCAGGGATTACAGTCTTTAAAATTGCGGACCAGTAAGATTGATTTTTTTTACGGGTTTCCTTCACATAAAGGATCTTGAGTTGACTAGTTGCAATATTACATTGTGCTTCTCCAGCTAGCAGATGGGGTTTAAACGGTGATAAAATGCGGTGATGTGGTTTATACGGGTCAGTTAAGAGAATGGGCTCTCATTTGCACTAAAGTGACTTACCTGCTAAAGTAACTTTGTAGCTTTTCATATACATGTAATTATGTTGCTACATATATCCTTGCCCATGCTGGATCCATACGGATTATTTCTTGTGCCTTAGTTCAGGCAAAAGTCTACCGGCTGGGATGTGCATGGAAGATGCTTTGCGTGGCCTCTAACGCTAACCGTGAGTATAGTCGCCTTCACAAAAGGGTTTAACATGCTTTTAGTTGGTCTTCTTTTAATAAAATTAGGAAAACTAGTGGGCCTCTCGCGGAAAGTCTAATGCTTTTCGTTTTCCTCAAGGGAAACCTTGTGCCATCACTGAACCTTGACTTTTCCATTAGTCCAGTGTTTTCATGCTTCATCTTCTATTTACGATTAACAGGTCCTCCTTTTATGAAAGTCTTACATGTTGACTAGAGATAATTGTAAATACAGGTTATCACTGAAGTCCATCGAAAGTTGGTAACCTGATATGGTCTTGAGATTTTATCAGACAAGTCTTTCCATAGCGCTTATAAACAGACGAGGATTTCATACCATTGAATAACACTTCCTATCGTGCTCATTTTCCTCAGGAGAACTCGTGTGAGCGAATCCATTCCCTAAGGACACCTTTTTTCAAGCTAGGAATGTGGTCACTTTTGCTCTACGTCTTCTTTCCACTATATGGCATCTCATATAGTTTTATAACTATGTGGTTTCACCACCACATCATGCGGATCCTTCGCGCATGTCTTTCAGCTAGTTCTGTCGATCACTGCTGTCAGCAATCACTTGTCAACGGGATTGATCTGGGGAGTCCAAATGGGCATTGAAGCCAGTTAAGCTTAGGCTATAGTTGTAATCGCAATCTTAACCTTTTTATTTACTGCCTATTCTTTTTCATGGCAGAGTATGTCGCGAAATATAATTTCTATAATGCCGAGATATGGTGGTGAACACGTTACTCCACGGTGAGGATAATAGCGCGTTCGTTCCCCACGGCAAACACTTGCGGTCAGGAGTTTTGCAAATGTCTCAGCATTATAAAAATTATATTTCGCAACATACCCTGCCATTAAAAAGAATAGGCACTAAATAAAAAGGTTAAGATAAGTGGTTTCAACTTAAACTAACTAGATTTATGAGCTCTTTCTCTAGATATGCATTTATGACGTTCGAAGTGGCACTTCTCCACTACAAAAATTGGACGTTCATCAGGGACTTGGGCGTGAGTCCCGTGTGTTATTTTGTGGTGATCGCTTGCTCTCGAGTGGTTTCACTAGTGTAAGTTTTCATTTGTATTAGTGCTTAAACAATCTGTGCATAACAATACTTGCTTGATTCAACCGGAATGATGCTGGGATATTTGCAAAGCCCCTACCATGCGGGTCCTTCGTTTCGCCTCTCAACTAGTTTTGTATTTACCAGTGCCATAAGCAAAAGTGTAGTAAGCAGCAAATAAATAGTAAACATTGTGATTTCAAATTGCTTGATTATTCGTCTGAGAGAAATCTCTTGGCGTTCTCTCATCTTCTGTCATCTTTTTTTTGAGTTCCTAAAATATTTTTTGTAGAAACGCACACAAGAGGTTATCGTGTTCGATGTAGGAAAGTGGGATAAACCAATCCACACTCAGGAGTACGTTTCCACAACAGGGATCTTGATGCCACTTTACGATTCTGACACCAGGCTGGTTTTCCTTGTTGGCAAAGGAACCAACAAGCTTTTCATTGCAGAGTTCCAGTCGAAAGTGCCATATTTATCACCAGGTAAGCTATATTAAAGCCGTGATCCTTAAGATTCTGGAATTTGTAACTGATTTAGCTTTTAAACTGCTTGTTTCATGTTTTCAGTGTATGAGATGTCGATGGCAGAGCAGAATCTCGGTGCATGCTTAGGTAGCAAACGCTGTGTCACAGTAATGGACGGCGAAGTCGATACATTGTACCAGCTTACGAGGCATAGCATCGTACCAGTTCCTTGTATTGTACCACGCAGGGTAACTGAACTTTCCATTCTTGCGAGCCTATTTTGTCAATTTCATTCCAAAGATTTCTTTTTTCGTCGTATGGACGGGTACTGCAGTGGAAAATGTTTGAACAGGACGTTCTTACGTTTTTCCATTTAATGGTTTGCCTATGATTTCTCTAGCAACTGCGCATTAGTTTTTGAAGGGACATTTACGGATTCTTTTCTTTTCAACCCCACAGACTTTTTATTGAAGCCACAGTTATGACTTAATCTTTTACGGTACAGAAATGTCTCTCACAAACAACTATGGTAAGATGTCTTCTTTCAGTCATATCGTGACTTTCATGCTGATCTGTTCCCTGCTACTCGCGGGCCAAAAGCGGGATGCACCTCAGATGAATGGTTGACTGGATCTGATGCCCTTGTGAGTCGTTACCTCTATATTTTGTTGGAAACGGTTGCCTGAAATCACTCTGCATCATTCATACGATTTGTTAGAATCCTTAGCGTTTTTTAATGCACGGAATATGGTCACTTTTCTCTCATTGATTTCTAAACCATTTATTACGTTGCAGGAAATTTGTGAAGAGTTAACCCACTTTATGATATGAATTTTTCAGCCGGCTAAGATTTCTCTAGCCCCGAGTACTTCCAACTCCAAATCGTGTGCATCTCCTTCATTGCGTACCACGTCAGCAGAGAATTGTTTACCACAAGTGACCGAAAAAGGAGTCTCGATCTCTAATCCGGAAAGCGTTGTAAAACCTGTGTCGCGTCTACGCACTCAAGACATGCTTGAAGCCATGGATACGGGAAAAATTTCGGTTTGTCCTATATATTTCTTCAGCCTCTCGTACTATCTAGCTATGAAATAACAAATTCCGGTTGTAGCTAAAACATTCGTGACATAGCCTGATATTTCACTTCTTCTTCACGATGCGAAGTCCTTTACTGATTACCGCATTCAACTCATTGCGCATTGTGCGTTGTGCTCCTCCAAAAAAGCATTAAGTACCATTCTTGTTAGCAACAGTTTCTGTAACATTCAACGAGCAAAGATAAAAAATTGATGTGGAGCTTATTTATTTTGTATTTTGACACCAGGAACATCTTACTACCCTCCTCATCCATGTGCACCTGCGGAGATGTCTTTGGTAATCTCCTAAACAGTAGTAACACTCTGTGGGAAGGTGAATAAAGTCGTACGAAAAACTTACTTGGTATTTGATACTTGTTACTTGAATGGCTCGTCCTCACTGGTCGTGTGGGCCCCAGCACAATCTCCATTTTTCGGAGATTTACTGGCTAAGCCATTGTGGTTCCCTGGAATATCGAGGTCAGCTTGGCCAAAGTCTGGTCCAGGTTTTCACCATCCACAGGCAGTCGCAGCCTTTGTGGATCAGAGATAGATTCACCACCATGCGACTTTGATACCAATACGGTGGTGGATCCTGGTATTAGTTTACTCTTAGCTAGGTTTCCTGATGGAAACGTCGGACTCCTTCTCAGCTTGGGAGACCTTGCCGAGAGACGAATCCCCCCGCTGTACACCGCAGTCCGACATTCAGGAACACCTCCCAGCGACGATAAGGCAGTAAACCGTTGGGATGCGTACGAAAAAGTTCTTTTTAATTATTGAGCGCGAAGCACTACTTTTCTCGGATCATATGCCCAGCACATGTGGTGTGGAAGCTATTTATTGGTTGAAAAAACTGTCAAGAAGAACTTTGTGCGGGAAAATAAACCATCGAAGAAAATCACTTGAAATCAATGCGCGTTTTACATTGTCTGTCGCATTTTCGCGTTGAATATAATGCGCTTTGTTGTGAACCTGCTGCTAGATGCGCCATTACATCTGATCCGTGGATTTCGCAGTACTACCTTTCGAATTGTACTTACTGTGGAAATGAGACTGAAGTTCTTATCATCATATTCATGAAATGGTGCTAAGTTAATTGCAGCTTCGCCATAGAAAATCAAGATTAAGACGATTTTTTGCAGCATACCCTATCTTGAGGGCAGAGGCCTAAATGAAACTCTTTCTGTTTATTTCTGTATTAAGCTGTGGTCATCGTATCGAGTTGAGGTACAAATAGGAAGACGACTGTTGTTGGAGTGATACCCAGCACTTCTCTGCATCTCACTATCTAACAACCGTCATCTATAGAGAGTCGAGTTGGTATTTGCCTTCGGCTGCTGTTTGAGTGTTTGAAAGTTGATTCCAGCTGTAAATATAGCTGGAACACGCGTTTAACGAACACATCGTGCGATATCCTAGTTCAAAATTCCTAACGTTTCGTATCATCGGCTTAGTATGAAATAATTATTATTCTATATCAATTAACATAAACGATTAATAATAGCTAATATGGGTCTAACATATCTGGTGGTTTTCAGAGGAAACTAATGAGCAATTCAATATCCTTCTTGCATGCTACCGACCTACTTGAATGAGCGCTAAGAGATTTAGTGCTTAATTGAGCTATGTGTACGTGAATGTCGTCGTACACGCTCTGCAAGTGATGATACTATTATTTTATTATTACACGATACGATATCATTTATAGGGGGCGGATAGCACAGTGGTACTGATGTCCGTCATCACGAGCATGGTACTAGTTCGGTTCCTCTCCGGGTCAACCAAGCCCGCCCTCCGGGGTCGGGAAATTGGTACTGGACTTATCTGGGAAAAAATCATTCTCAGCAATCCAGTTGGAAACACTCCAGCCCGGCTGGCTCAGGACTCCAGGGAGAATTGCTCGACCAGCATCCTACAACATTCCAGATGAAATGGAAATCCTCAACCAGCAACCGAAGCCACACGTAAAAGTTGGAGGATCTTCGTGGACAGTGGATGCAAGGAAACGAATCGAATTTGAGAAGTGCTGAGATCCGCACAGTAGACGGTGAAAACGGGTCAAATAAAATAGAATTAAAAAGATGTCACGTATGGTGCCTATCTTAGCACTTTAGTCCTTATGTTTGATTTACCTCTTCGCATCCATCATCTGAAAGGATATTAGGATTCGCTTATGAGTTCAGATGCTGCTTGAGGATTTTGGTCTCCTTCATGAAAGTTCGAAACTGGTCAAGTGGGTTCCCTGAAATTTTGGTATAGCCGTGCTGAAGTGTTAGCACGTGGCTGGGGAAGTGAGCTAATACCAGACAAATTTGGTTCAAATTTTCTAACCCCAGGGAATGGAGGCTTCGGGAGCCCCAGCCCGATTCGAAACATCGTCATACTGTTAATAAAGGGCACTACTATGACTGCACTACCTGTCCGCCAGTTGTATACAAGTAACATGTTTAGCACGGATGGTTCAGTCAGTACGATATGTTAATTACAAACATTAAAGAGATATGGGAGCAAGGGTAGAGATTAATAGATGAAAGGAATGAAAACGGCGTGAAAGAAACGGGGAGATGGGACCGTTGAAGAAAGAGTTCTTAGTCTGCTTTCGTCAACACTTTGGAAGTAGTTTAGCAAACCACCGTATTGAGTCGACAATTAGGGTAGAGAGGTTGAAAAGTTAGTTGAAAATGGTAGATTGTTCAGGTGCTTTAACTGTATCCGTTTACTTTGCTATCTCGAACCTCCATTATTTGTCACCTTTCGTTCGCTACATTCTTTTATTGCGTCTTCACTACTTTTACAAGTTGGGTTTGGAGTGTTATGGAACTTTTGCAGGACAATATGGATACATACCAAGCAAAACCTGTGGTGCATGAGCTCGTGTACACGGTCCACGATATCTCAGAAAAGGAGAATGAAGTTAAGAATGTAAGTTCGGATTTAAATGTTCACATTTTACATAGTAATAAAGCCTGTCCCAAGATGTTTTGCTATCTCTTCTTCAGTCTGTTAGTGAAACAACTTATTTCTTATCGTTCACTGTTTTCATATTTCGCTCTATCGGTAGGCATAATGCTGTTGCTCCGTCAAAATCCTGAAAACATCCTTATTGGATTGCGTCAAAGATTTTTTTCCCTCTGAAAATGCCTTTCATCTCATCTCATATTTTTATGAAAGTAAATATGACCACAATGACGCTGAGATATTTGCAAAACTCTGGGCCTCGGGTGCCTGCGGTGGGGATCGAACCTGCTACTACGCTTTCAGTGAGGAGTGAGGAAATATACTTCAGGAAGAGAAAAAAATGAGTTGGATGGGAATTTCTTGTGCAGACATAATAAACTTTAAGAAAGTCGACTCTCATCACAAACAAGCAGAGGCGTTACCCGAATGTCAAAAGTTGGAAATGTCATCTGCGCAACAGCGCTCTATCGTTAGTAGTACAGAGCCGGTGGTTCTTATTCGTTTACGGCAGTTGAATAAGGGCGACGGTAATTCTTTAGTTTGTTGTTGTTATTGTTATCATTTTTAACCAAGTGAAAAGTAATTGCGTGAATTTCTCAGCATTCAGAGGTTAGTGGACAGTCGTTATCCGCACGTGTAAGACCAAAGTCATGCGTAGTAGGGCAAGTGGCTTCAAAATTCCGTCATGTCGAGCTCAAGGCAAACGGTGCAGTTTTTACGAACCTTCGAAATGTGAATACACAGCTACCACTTGAAACTAACGGTGCTTGTGCAAGTGGAAAGGTTAGTTCGATATTGACATTAACAACTTTATTTTCGTGTTTCTTCTTTTCGAGAACATGCCTATTAACTGTGACCATTTTCTTCTTTTTGTATATTTGGACGGCCCGTCTACACTGGTTGTGCGAGCTCAAGCATGATCTTCATTTTTCGATGTTTTCCTGGTCAAGCCACTGTAGTTCCCTGAAGTCTCTAGATCGGTCTAGCTGAAGCCTCTCCCAGGTCGTCACCACCACAGGCTGTTGCCGTCCTTCTGGATTAGAGGGAAAGTTGCCACCATGCGACTATTTTGATACCAGGACGGTGGTCGATCTTGGTATTGGTTTACTCTTAGCTGGGCTTCCTGATGGAAAAGCGGGTTTCCTTCTCGGTTTGGGAGATTTTGCTGGAGGGATGAATCCCTCGCTGTACATCGCAGTTCGACACCTAGGAACACCTTCCAGCCACAGTGAGGCGGCAAACCATTGGGAGGCTTTTTGTATACACGATGAAAAAGTGGCTTTTAAATCTTCGAACGTCCTTTTTAATTTAAATGAATACTGGATTGTAGTTTATCGCCGTTCCACTGAAGGGACCAGCGGGTATTGTTGGAGTTTATGATGTGAAGAAACCCGAAAAACTCCCTGATGGCGTAATGGATGGAATATTCAACAAAGCGCTAGTTAGTGTTTTCGCTTGTTCTTAAGTATTTCCAAAAATTGATGTCATTTACCCACACTACTGACGAACTCCATTAATGATATTGTTTCTGTACAGGTAACTGATCTGCACTGGAATCCATTTGACGATGAGGAATTGGCAGTCGGTACAGATGTTGGTTTAATAAACTTCTGGCACTTAACAACAGACGATGGACCACGGAATGAAATGCAAGCTGAGAAAGTGTTGAATATGGGCGGCAATAAAGTAGGTCTCAGAATTTCTGTTATTCTCTTTTTCTCTTTGTCATATGATTAGGATATTCGAAGACATATCATAGTGCTGTAGTTCTATCATCAACAGTAGGATTAACCTTCTCCTATCTTCACCGTTATCTTCAGTATTTTATTGTTTCACGAATTGAAATTCGGTTACATACATTCTTTTAAGAAGACCAATTCTAAGAAGCAATGTTTCTTTGCAAAAGCAAAAATACTATTCCCGCTTCTTACTGACTTTTACTGTGGTTTTGCAGGTGCTTTGTTTCCAATGGCATCCAATGGCCTCTGATTTACTTGCTGTAGCGCTATCAGATAATTCGATTGAGATTTGTGAATCAAAAACGCTAGCGAGAAGAACAAAGTACGACTGATTATCATAGATCTATTGTTTTTCAATTGTACTTTTGGTACTACTATAGGATCGTATCGCATTCGGCTCCTGTCATTGCGTTGGCGTGGAGTTCAGATGGTCGACGACTTGCTTCTATCGGCAAAGATCTTATGCTAAATGTTCATCAACCACAGCTTGGTGATGAGTGTCTGATAGCACAAAAGAAAGTACGTTTATTCGATTCTATTCGATTCGATTTTTCCATCTAAGACTTTAGAAGTGACAGCTTCTTTTTCGCTTTCCTTACATGTGCTTTATTTGCAAACGTTTTCCTAGTACTTTTATTATTTTTATATTGACTGCTTTGTTTTTCCCTTGAAAATGTTTGAAAGCAATAGGTTCTTGAACGTGGACATTCTGGTCGGCTTCTTTACGCTTGTGATGACCGGCTAATTGTTATTGTTGGTATGACAAGAAGCTCATCACGGCAGGTATCCGTCTTTTCTAACTGAAGTTGTTCACCTTTAGGTCTGATTCTTGCGAAATTACAATTTTTATTGTTCGGTGGGATCAAAGAGGCGCGTGTAGCGCAGTGGTCGGAGGCGCCGTTCAATACACATGGGATCGATCCCGGCGCCCCAGGCCCACCTATCCCTCCATCGCTCCGGAGTCGGCAAAGTAGTGCCAGGCTTGTCTGGGAGGATAGCAGCAATGGCTCGATACACCCGCAAGCCACTGCGAGTAGCAGTGTAGACCGGATATGCATTGAGTCACCTCCAACGATGTTTAATTAAGTCGAATGCATGGCTCATCTATCAGGGATAGGTCAACGCCGAGAGCCTTATCCTTTTTTATCCATAGTATCATTAGTAATGTGCTGACCACTTTCTACCACTAAGTGAAAATATCTTAGGAAAATAACTTCGATATGCTTCTGTTCATGTTTAGGTTCAACTATTCGATGCTTCATCGTTACATGAGATTCATACGCAGCAGATCGATAGCGGTACACAACCGCTTGTGCCTTACTATGACTACGATTCATCAGTTCTATTCCTTAGCGGCAAGGTTTGACTTTTTCCAGACTTTTGTTTTCTGTTTCTTTTGTTATATTTCATATGGTATAACATATTATCTTCAAGGGAAGTCGTATCATTAACATGTACGAAGTCTGTTATGATCCTCCTTATCTGCTTCCACTTACACCGTATGTGTCTCCTTGCATCGGTCAAGCGATTGCTTTTCATAATAAGAAAATGTTTGTACCTTTTTTCGTTTAGTCTGTCCACATTTTGCCTCAAATTTATCCTTTTCTATTCACCTTTATGTTTTCGGTCCAACCACTAAGGTTTAGGTGCGATGTCATGGCGGTGGAGTTTCAACGTGCTTGGCGATTATCAGAGAAAACCATAGAACAGTTGATATTCCGAGTACCAAGAGTCAAAGTAGGAATATTTACTTTTTAAAGCATAAAAGCAATACCATCTATTGTTCCATTATACGCAAGATCCTCATATTACTTCTTATGGTTATGAGACATTTTTAAGAAAGATATTTCCCTATTTTTCATAACTAACGTGATAATATTTGTCTGAATTTATTTAGCCAAGTACCAATGTATAGAACCTAAGAGACGATAAAGTACGGAGTTAAGTGGCAGTTGTAAACAAGCATTGCAGGTTATTATTTCAGAAAGATGTGTTTCAATCTGACCTCTTTCCGGATGCATTGGTCACTTGGCGACCAGTAATGACGGCGGATGAGTGGCTAGCTGGTAGCACCAAAACTCCTCATTTTGAAAGCCTAAAACCAGATGGAGTTAGTGCTCTAGGTGAGTTGACATGACACGATAAATTTTCGAGGCTACTGCATCCGTCTCAGTTTATGCCTACATTGGCAGACTCGCCAAAATCAGTAAAATCAAAGTGAATCATATGTTAATTTTAACCTCTTATTTACTGCTTACTACAAGTTTTAACGGGAGGGTATTATGTGAAGTGCAGCCACAATGATGCTGAGATATTTGCAACACTTGGTCCCCAAGGCTAGATTGCACGGCGACTACCTTTTCTGGGGGCTCATGTATTACGCACGGCACCATCGAGACTCCTGTTCTGCCTTTCTTTCAGATAGTTTTCTACCTAACGGTGGCATCAGTAGTCACCTATCAACGGAATAGAAAACTGAAATGGTGATTTCGACTAGAACTTCTATTTAACTGGGTTCCATGCCGACTTGTGTCCATCAGATCAATCCCGTTGGCGGGTGACTGCTGATAGCACCGTTAGAGGAAAGACAGAGAATATCTCAGCATCATCGTGGTGACAAAGTAAGTCGTGGCGCTCTTCGCGTCTTTCCGGCAAGCGGGGGCAAAAAGATAGCTCTGACGAATGACAAACTCGAATAGCTACAGCGAATGTGCTTGCTCGTTTAATTCGATGATCAACGAGGTGGTACATGATTATAGGTGATGTGTTAAAAGTGACGTCAGTGCCTTCCACTGCTTTGAGTTCGGCTGCGGCTCTCTCTAAATCTATAATATCTGAGCCGGAATCAAAGCCAGCAGTAAAATTAGAAGCAAGTCTTCAAAAAGTACGTCCGATTTTTTTTTGTTACTCTGTTACTCTTTTGTACTAGTCTCTGGGTTATTCGAAATTTAGGCCGAAGATATTTGGTCGGCGAAGATTAAGGACCATACCATCGAACAAGATGTTATGGAAGGTGTTTCCGAAGAAGAATGGACAGAAGCCTTATAGTATTGCTGAGGATTGTAATTTGTTCATTTATAAGCCTTTCAACAAGTTTTTCACTTGCTTTTAAAGTAAAATGGACTTCTCTTCTTGTTATTGTTACATTTCCTTTGTAGAATCGTTCTATTTCTATCAGATTATACTTAGTGCATGCATTTTTTTCAATATAGTTCTATTTCTTAATGTCGTCATGCATTAGAATGTTTATTTGTTCTACTGGTCTTAAAACTATAGCTATGTTTCAAGACCGTAGACCAAAGTGACTTCTGTTAAGTGTTCACAATAGACTCGTTGTCTAGTCAGTTTTCCGTAGCGAAGAACTTAGATGACTTGGTACATAGCACTATTTTTTAAGGTAGTTTTCGTAGATGTCTGTGAATTATCCCTCCTAATGAAACATTTACTTTTAAACCAAATTCTTGGTCCATTGAATGAATTCGTTTGTATGAAATAGACGTCTAGATCCGTGGAATTTTCTTTCTTAGGGTAGTTCTTACGCTTTTCAGAAGCGTGATCGATTGCCTTGTTTCTGTGGTTTTGACGTTTCTTTGTCGTGGAATTTAATCCAAAATATCTGAAATTTCTTAGTCGAGTCGCACTTCGTGACTAGTGATTTTTCTTCGTTGTCGTGGTCATCTTTCTTCTGGTCTGGCCGATTCTCTTACCATGTGTTGTCATTTTGTATTCACTTTTTCGCAGTTTCTTATCTCCTTATCTAACTGTATATGTACTTAATAAAATGTTTGCAATCGTGCTAGTTCCAAAAAAATTAAGATAGGACGTTATGGCGCTTTATTGGTGTTATAACATTTACTAGTAGTTAAAATATTGGTCCAGTGAAGTCCAAATGATCCCTCTTTCCCTAACTTTAGCTAACTTGATTGTCTTGCTATTTTCTCAGGCGACAAGCTTTGTTGGTGGAGGTCATTTATGAGCGACAAACTACCTATCATTTCCATTGTCTTTTATAACTATATGCTTATGCAGCTTATTTTGAAATGCTAAATAATGAATAAGAGGTGTGTAACGAGCTTTTAATGCTTAAAATTTGTCAGAGAATGAGAACACGTAATACATCGGTAGGTCTTGGCAAGTCATGGCCTTGGCCGAATATGTGTTCCATCACCTCTACGATGCTTAGTAAAGAGGAGTGCGTGAGGTATCCTAAAGGGTTTGGTCGACGTTGAAGCCTTTGTATACCTTATGCTTTTATAAGCGACCTCCTGGTTTAAGATAACGACATTTAGTTCAGGTAACTACTGTGGAAATCATAACACTACAGAAATGCTCATTGAAGAGTTATCTATTGAGTAGTAGAGTACAATACTATACTGGACTACCAGTATGGTCAAAACCTCATTAAACATGGTCTTCGGCTTTTTAAATTATTTGATTACAGGATGGGGATTATCCAACGACTACCAGATGATGTTGTGAATAGGATAGCTGCAGGAGAGGTACGGGTTGTCGTTCATTTGCTTTCATTGTGACATGGCATCTAGTGGTAGTTCTGTTCCTTGTCGCAGATTAAATTTCTGCACGTTTTTCAAATGAGGGCTCTTATGTTTCGATCGTTGCTTGGTGGTAATGAGTATTGAAGAGGTATTTGATGGTAGGTTGTTGTCCGAGCAGCAAATGCAGTAAAGGAGTTGATTGAGAATAGTCTGGACGCCGGTGCAACGGAAATCATTGTTACGGTCAAAGATGGTGGCATGGGCTTACTACAAGTTCAGGTACAGAAGCAGCTTTGACTATATTAGATGTGAGTTAACCTCATCTTGTGTAGGACAATGGAAAAGGTATTCACAAAGACGATTTGGACATAATCTGTGAACGGTTTACGACTTCAAAGCTCCGTAAGTTCGAGGACTTGCAGCAAATGGCGACTTATGGATTTCGTGGCGAAGCGTTGTCATCTATAAGTCATGTTGCAAAGGTTTCCATATGTATATATTTGAACTTGTAACTTGGATTTACAGTGACGCTTCTGTTCCATACTTCTGATTTGTTGTCGGTTATTGTGGGTGAAAGAGGGAATGTGGAGTCTTTAATAGTCACCAGTAATCTGCGCCCAGATAAAACTTTGCGAGCTCATGGACTATCGTATATTCGTGTTTCTGTATTCTATGATAACCACAACGATGGTCAGATATTTGCAAAACTTGGACCCAGGCCAAATCGAGACGCGATTGCGCTTTCCGGGGTTTACGTGTTACGCATGGCACCATTGAGGCTCTCCTTCCGCCTTTTCCTCAGCTAGTTTTTTTTACCATAACGGTGCAAAAAATATCTGTTGACAACAAACTGACCTCCATGGAAAGGTGCAGTGATTGCGAGGCACGACAACGTTAAACGACTGAGTTCTGACTGCATCAGAATCGTTACAACCATTACTGTATTCGTCTTCCAACCCATTTCGTGTTATGCGCAGGACTACTGAGGCTCTCCTTATGGCTCTTTCTCACCCTGTCTTATTACAATAACGGTGCTCGTGAGCCCCTGGCAAGGGTAACCGCGGATCAAGCTGGCCTGGGGTCCGGGTTTTGCAAATATCTCAGCATAATTGTGGTCGTATTTCATACAATACACTGCCGCGAAAAATTAGTGTAAATAAAAACATGTACTCTAATATATCCATGACTGTGTGGATTTTTTACCAACTGGTAGTAATTTTTTCATCAAAAACCGAGGCTATCGAAGACACTAGGAAGCTTATAGGAACGTCCTATCAGCTCTCTCTGTCCACCAAAGGTAAACATGCATACAAATACGTACAATACTTAGGTACTATTTCCATTTTACTTGGAATGTGCTAAATAGGTGCCACATCTATCTTGAAATAGCTCACTCTAATTGCAAAGACCAGTGATTGTCTCTTGAGAAGACTTGGGAACTCACTACGAGAATTTCGTAGGATTCCAATTAGAATCAACTCGACGAGCGTTCAACAACGTTCATGAAGAAAATGAAGTTCTTGACTTCCTCCGATACTACATCCAAATCCGAAGATCTCGTAGTTAGTGGATATGTGAAGTGGAAGACTCATTCCGTCGACCTTAATAGAACTTTTGATACGGCAGCACTTGATAGTGAGATTATGGAAAAACTGCAAGATACAGCTTCATTGCCACCTTCATGGGTGTAGAAAATGTCTTTAACACAATTGAGGCAATAGCAGCCGTGGAAAATTTGCGCAGCTAGAACGTCTTCAGTACAACAAGACTCTCTGAGTTTGAGGACAACTTCATGAAGAGATCATTGTAGAAAGAAAGTCGCCAAAAAGTAAGAATTGTGAACAACTATTGTCAAAAACATTGTGCCCTTCAGTACATTCTGGATCGACCACTGGTTCAATTCCTCCAAGGTCACCAATCGTTCCATTCCTCCGAACTCCAAAAATTGGTACTAAAATTATCCGGGAAAATGAAAACACTGGCTTGATACATCGGCAGCCCACGTCAAGTTATTGTATTGGTCGGATAAGCATTCAGCTAGCTCTATCATGAGGTTGAATGCTTGATGAATCTTACAAGAATTGAAAATGACTGAATACTTTTAAACTCTATTAACATAAAAAAACCGGTTTTCTTCTAACCCCGGAATGAGTGACCGACATGTGTTTAAATTTTAATCTTTTTATTTACTGCCCAATATAATTTTTAACGGTAGGGTATCATGTGAAATACAACTAAGATGATACTGAGATATTTGCAAAACTCCGGAGCGCAGGGTGTCTGGGGTGGAGAACGAACGCGCTATTGTACTTTCCGGACAGTAACGCGTTCACCATTACACCATGCGGGTTCTTCGTTTCGCCTGTCTCTCGTCTCGTTCTATCGATCAGCGCCATGAGCAATCATCCGTCAACGGGATTGATCTAGGGAGCCCAAATCGGCAAGGAACCTAGTTAAGCAGAGGCTGAAGTTGAAATCACAGTCTTAACCTTTTTATTCACTGCCTACTATAATTTTTAGCGGCAGGGTATCATGTGAAATATAACTAAGGTAATGATAAGATATTTCCAAAACTGCAAAAAAGAAAAATAAAAGTCAAAAAATGATTGCGGTTCACCTGCGGTCCGAAGTTTTGCAAATATCTCACCATCATCTTAGTTGTGCTTAAATTGTTCAGCTTGAACGAGGTTGATAAATAGATTATATTACTCCATTATTGTTTCTTATTAATACGTTTTGCCACCTTACTGTGGCTGGGACGTGTTCCTGGGTGTTGGATTGCGATTTGCAGCAGTGGGATTCTTCTCCTCAGCAGGGTCTCCCAAGCTGAAAAGGGCTCCGGCGTTTTCATGAAGAAGTCTAGCTAAGGCTAAACGAATACCAGGATCCTTCGCGGTCCTGGGATCAAATTTGTCGCCCTCTGATCTAAATGGCGACGACTACCTGTGGTGGTGATGGCCTGGAGCAGACTTTGGCTAGGCTGACATCAGGACTCTAGGGAACCACAATGGTTAAACCAGAAAAAAACTCGGAAAAATGGAAATTATGCTGAGTCCCACACAACCGATGAACACGGTCCATCCAAGTATCCAAGTATTTATCAACCTCTTGCAAGCTCAATAATTTAAACACATGTTTATTAACAAAGCTTAAAAATTTCGAAATTTTAATGAGTGCATATGGTCGTCCATATTGATTTTGCATTCATAGACACTGGTGTCTCTTCCTAGTTGGAATCCTGCTGCTTTAGTCGTTTCAGTCTTTGAGAATCGAGTTTTGATAAAAGAATTTAGTGAATGCCGTAAGAATGTAGCAACATGTTCCACTCAGATCGATGAGAAGGGAGGTTTATTCTTTAGTCGTTAGTTCATGCTACATTTTAGGTGACTATAACGTCCAAGACAGCTGGACAACAATGTGCATATCAAGCGAAATACATAGGTAAAGTTCTAATTGAGTGTGTTTTCTTCTTGTTCGGCATCATCAAACTACTTGTAATATGAAGAATTCTCTTTCAGATGGAAAACTTGAGTCGATTAGGGCATCGGCCGGACTGGATGGCACTTGCATAGCGGCTGAGGATCTTTTCTACAACTGTCCTAGTAGGTGGGATCAAATCTGAAGGGTATTAATTCCAAATGTATTTGAAGTTCATCATTGTTTTCCAGCCTTATGCTTTAGGAGAAAAGCATTTCGGAACCATGCAGATGAAACGAATAGGATTGCAGACGTTATTATGCGTTATTCCGTGCATCGCCCGTATGTTTCTAAATAATTTAGCTCTTTTTAGTTTTCTACTTCCTCCAACCCCCATATAGTGGGTTACTGCCTCATCACAACTGCGAGAGATTAGTACTTCTTTATCGGTCGTTAATGTTGTTCATAATTTTCGAAATAGTGGTCTCACCTTACGTCGTCGGGCTTTCCCTCATTGTCGAATATCAGTTCATTGAAGGGACGTGTCATTCTCGATGCGACGAGGAGGAGGTGGCGCAGATTTTCGAACAAGTGGTCGTGGCACTAGGAGCGAAATAATTACGGCACTTCTTGGGAAACATTGTTGCGAAGTTAGTTTAACATCGAATGGCACGTCCTAGTTTCTTTATGGATATATGAGTATGGAAGCGAACACAGTGCAAGTAGTGCAGTTTGGGTTGTGTAGAACGAGTTCAAAGTTTTTTGTCGTTTGTTAGTTTACATAAATTGCCTCGTACTATCAGAATACCACATTCCGGCAACAATTGCAGAATATGATTGATTTTAAACATTCTTCGTCAAGGTTGCACTATAGCACCGAAGTGTGTTTGACGTCACCTGTATCATCATCTACAGCTCGTGGAATCCAGGCTAAGAAGGTAAGATTCTTGCATTGTGGTCGTTTGTTAGCTCGTTGTTCCCATCAAATGTAACGCTTCAGAAGTAGGGATAATTCTTCAAAAATTAGTACAGTTAAGCTGCTCTACAGAACCAGCAAAAGACCTTCTTCCTCTTCATAAATGGTCGTCTAGTACAGTGTCCAGCACTGAAGTTTGCCATCGATTCATTATTCACCGATCGAGATTTAGTCTGTCCATTTGCACTTGTTTCGTTAATGGTGAGCATTATTCCAGGGTTCTTTCTATTTAAACATAAGCTGCATGTAAAAGACTTACTTTTTTCAGATCGAACCATGCCGTGTTGATGTGAACGTGCATCCTACCAAAGAGACTGTGATGTTTCTTGAAAAAGAAGCCATCATTGAGGATCTGCAAAAGGTACTTGTTTAGTAAATTGTTTGAATACTTGGGCATTCTGTATTACAAATAGTCGCTAAATTGGACTCAATTATGTTCCATTTTTTGTTTTTCTTTTTAGCCAATAATTAACAACATGAATACTTGCTTAGACCTTGTCACGATAAGGAAAAGCTTCTTTTGTAACATATTTTGGACGACGTGAACCAGGTGTGATTCTTATGTGGCCGAAAATATTTTGGAGGCTTATGTGAAACAAAACCACAATGATGTGGACGTATGAGCAAAACTCTGAAGCCCAGGCCAGCTTCGAACTCGCGATTAGCCTTTCCGGGGGTTCACGTGTTTCCTACTGCACCACTGAGGCACTTGCTTTGTCTTTCTCTCAGTGTTTTTTTTTTTTTTTTTACCATAATAGGACTATCAGCAATGACTTGTCAGCGGGAATGATCTTGGGAGCATAAGTAGGAAATAAATGTTGAACCCAGTCAAGCTGATGCTGCTGTCGAAATCACAATGTTTAACTTTTTATTTATTGCCTACTCTTATATATAGTAATGGGCAGTAAATGAAAGATTCAACATATTTTAGAGTTTTTCAATTTCGAACCGTAAGAGTGCGGTCTTTGTCAAAGTGATTTAAGTCTCTATCGCGACGAAATTTTCCAGAAAGAAGACCAAAAGACTTCTTTTTTTGCATTCTTCGTTAAACCTCATGTTTTCAAGTGTGGGGAGTGACAAAACGAAATTTCGTTCAACAGGACGCGAAATCTCCGAATGCATTGGTGTTGACAGCTGCCATGCCAGGACTGAAAACTTTAAAATTTCAAATTTTTATGGAATTGTACGAGGATTGGTATTTCAAGCAGGTCTAAAAGCAGAATAGCGTTTCCGGAAAATCATGTTTATCTATAGAAAGAGGTCTATTTCAAGACTAGTCAGGTCTTTGACTTCTCAAGTGTAAAAAAAATAATCGGAGTTTATTCAAGAAGGACTATTGTCGCGAACGTTTAAATATTTGATGATTACCAATATAATGGTAGATTATTAGGGACAGGTTTGATAGAATGTTAAGTAATTCAGCTCATGCAGGACTTAAACAAGAACCATTAGAATCCACATTTAAAAAAAGAGCCTCAGTTAGTGCTATGGATAACACATGAACCCTCAGAAAGTGTAGGCTCTCATTCGAAGCCCAACTGAGGTGAGTTTTGTTCATATATTAACATCCTTGTTATTGTAGTTTACATCGTTCCATACTATGAAAAAGGTGATTATTAGGTAAAGCTTAAGGACCAGCATGTTTCTGTTAAAACGACACGAGTTGGAAAACGTGGAAAAATACCGAACTGTTTTTTAGTTTATTCAATTGCTCCGTCGTTAGTAGTACGACGATTCATAGTTAAGTTAATAGGACGCCGTCGCGCATCAGAGTTCTTTATTATGTGTTGGTCACGGTAGATCCAGAGTATAGGGAATGTGTTGGCTTCCTTACACCTTATCTATCGTCCATTGTATCGGTGTTCACGGTTTCGCCAAGAATCGAGAAACTATAGTTGGACGAACCCATATATTGACCATCGAAAAGTCATTAGTCATAAATGACTCCTATCGTCTTAGCCTGATTAGTGATGAAAATCCTTGTAGGCGATCGAGGACAAACTGAAGGATATATTCGAGCGAGAAGTAGGTCCTCGCAGTATAAGCAATTCTTATCAGAGTATTTTAACCTGCTCTCAGGTTTTGCGGATTCCTTCTCAAACTCAAACTGCTAAGGTTGCAATTCTTATATTTTATTTTTACACTTTGAAAGATTGAAAACACAGTGTTTGAATCAATGATATATGATTGTCTCGTTTTAGGATGTTGATTCATTCAGCAACAATTCAGATAATGGAGCTTCTCCATTACAAAGCCCATCTGCCACTAAGAAACGTGTGGACTACACGGTTTGTTACACGGATTTCATCCCCTTCATAGTTTTTTATTGGCATCGTTTCATTTCTTACTTCGTATTTGTCAATAAAAGTTGTAATTCAGTGGACAGATTTAATAGCAAAAGGAGAGCTGTTTTTTTCAATATATTTTTGTCAGATAGTACGAGTGGATACAAAAGAACGTCGCTTGGATGAGTTTATATCAACCTCCAGTGCTGCTTCATCTTCATCTTCGGTCGATTTAGTAAAAATTTTAGGAAGTCAAGAAGACAGCGCTTGCGAGGTGCTTCTATGGATTGTTGTGGTTTTTTATTAATAGTATATCTTTTCTAAAAACACTTTTAAATTAACCTCATACAAGTGTCTTCACAGTTCTACTTTTATTTCGTTCGAATCTTTGTTTTGTCGGGTCTCTGTCTCTTTTATCGACACATCGATGGAGAAGTTTCCTTTAGGCAGATGCCAATGGTCAAAGAGTATTCGAATTTGAGTCCCTTGACAAATTGAGAAAGCGGATCTGTGATAATCTGTCGCAGCCACTTAGGTGTGGTAAATTTTTGTGTCGTGTAAAAGCAAGATTTTTTATTGCTTATTCGTTGACTCTTCTATTTTTTCTGATTTGTTTTGCTTTGGAAATATTCCACTGAAACTAAAACGTAGGGTTACATTGAAGTTATTTTTTTCTCATCATTATCAATCTGTGTTAGCTTGACAATCCAAGAAGATACTGACGTTACTATAATGCTGAGATATTTGCAAAACTCCGGACCGCAGGTGTCTGCAGTGGGGATGAACGCGCTATTGTCCTTTCCGGGTAGTAACGCGTTCACCACCGCACCAAACGCGTTCGTTTCCCACCGCATACACCTGCGGTCCGGAGTTTTGCAAATATCTCAGCATTATCGTAGTTATATTTCGCAAAATACCCTGCCGTTAAGAAGAATAGGCAGTAAATAAAAAGGTCAAGATACTGACGTTAGTTCATTTTTTTCAGGGAATTCTTCAAGAGCTTGATTTTTGTAGGATGTGTATCAGTGAATTCTATGCTTCTGCAATTCGGTACAGGCTTATATATCGTCCAGCTCGATAGCATCCTTGAAGAGCTGTTTTATCAGGTTACATATTTACCTATTCTTATCGTAGTAGTTTTCTTTATTTATAAACTTGAAGAATTTTTCTGAATAAGTTAATGTCTCATTGGGGAAAAAGCTTCAAATATAATATAATATATACATATAATATATAATATATAGTGTATAATACAATATATAATATATTGTAATATATATACATATATGTAATATAACTCGAAGGACCGACTTTCTATAAACCTCGGCATAAATAGTTAATATATTTATTTATGTGATCTTATAAACTAATCTTCTTAAGCTGACACGAGGTTGGTACAGGTCTTCGTTGTCGTTGTCGTTGTTTTTGATGTTATTGATCGATGGATCGATCGACTGTCGATCAATAACATCAAAAACAACGACAACGACAACGAAGACCTGTACCAACCTCGCGTCAGCTTAAGAAGATCAGTTTCTATAAGATCACTTAAATAAATATATAATATAATATATAATATATACATATATATATGTAATATTTGAAGCAAAGCGAAGCAATTCATTTCTTTGTATTTATTTGTATATGCGGGTATGAGAGTGGAAAAGGTGTTGTCGCGAAAGTTCTTTAGCATAAGATATGATAATCTACGGTCAGCAGAATGGGTTGCAGTAATCTGTAGCATATCTAGGAAACAGAGTTAATGTTCGATGTTCTACACTGGAATGGAAATAAGTGCGAGTCGCAGGATTAATCTACGACCAATTCAAAATGATGGAAATCGGATGAGAGCTTTCACTATTCTTTTATCATTGTGGGTAGTCAACGGTAATACAAATGCCATATTTCATTACGAAAGAGGTTACGCTTGTCAACAGGAAAGTGTTAGACGTACCGAAGATATCTGGAAACGGTAAAAATGTGCCATTAAAGTGTCTCTTGAATTGAGTTTCTGACGGAAGAGGTATACAAGTAGGCTATTCTAGAAATGCCCAACTTAATGAGTAGCAAAACTATTTTTAAGCCGACCGCAATTTATCCTCGGTAGCAAAATAAGCAAAATGTGGACAGTTGTGGACCACGGACTCGGATTATCAGCTCTGATGAAGAAGAAGAAGTTAAAACGTCGGCCGAATAAATCTGTTTGTTAACCTCGTATAAGCTCAACATTTTAAACACATGTCGCAGCTTATATCAGAGGCAGAAGTAGGCTTTGAGTGTGCCCACGGTTTGGAAATCATTAGAGCTTATATTCTTTATTATTACTATTAACTGCTATGACATAGTATGCTTTTAAGTAGTCGTTTTAAGTGATCACTTAACGTCTCTACATGATTGGTGAAATCATGGAAGTGTACCAGCTTACATGTTACTCAGTTTATATTCGTCCACTTGCTTAAATTCATGCCACTTCAAACAACAGATACCAAAATGTTTCTGGATTTTCACTGTATTGCACGTGCAAGCACCGCGCACGTAATGGGATCGCACGTCGTCACACTCTATACAAACGTATCAAGTGACTTCACATTGCAAAAAATCCTTGAACTTTTCATTCATCATGAAATAACAATAAAGATGTATAACTTTTTTGTCTACTGCCCGTTTTTATCTACTGCACGGCAAGGTATAATGTGAAATACAATCACAGTGATGCTGAGATATTTGAAAAACTCTGGACCAAAGGTGTCTGCGGTGGGGATCAGATCGGTCATTATATTTTCCGGGGACTAACGTGTTGATTATGGGTTTTTGTTTCGCCTTTCTAACATATGCATTGCTGGAGGATCTCTTGCCACTGCGTTATTTTCGGTGAATGCTTGTAGTATTGTAGGAAAATATGAAATAAATTGATATTTCATAAGATGGAATTGTCAGTTTATTACTGTGTCCATTCAAATCAATTTAAATAAAACATGCGATTGCTTGACGACGGTAAAAGGTGTAGAGCAGGTTTCTTCGTTACTAATATGGCATTTACAAGGAAAGCGATTTAAATTAAGGTGGAGTTGCAATGCCGAGGTGGATGGTTCCTTTGAAATCAGATTTAGCTCATGCACTTTTAATCATAATTAAGGATAAAATTTGGAGATATGCGGACGTAGTGCTAAATCAACTCATCTCACGATACTCCTGCGATATTCCTATATACTGCGTGGTTACAAATTAAACAAATGTGACCATAAGGGTACTGAGATATAAGCAAAACTCGGATTCTCCTTGAATGGACCAGTACCGGCCCTTGCTATATTTACATACTTTCAGACTCTGATTTTCTCTTTCGGTAACTTTGGCTCATTTAAATTAGAAAGTGGAGCGAATATACTCGATCTGCTGCGACTAGCAGATATTGAAGAAGAGCATGAGGGTACATTCTGTTTTCATGTGTGTTTAAATAACATAACGTTCTTAAATAGGTTGAGGTTTGTTGTGGTGATGTGATATGGTTCAGTTAATTTAAGTGGCAGCACTGGAGCTTCTTGAATCTCAGTCAGCCATGCTCAATGACTATTTCTCGATTGAAATATTGCGTCTTGATGACGTCGATCAGAGACTTAGAAGACTGGACACGTTATATTTAGCAGCAATTCCCTCCATTATTGATGGATACGTTCCTCAACTGGAAGGTTTACCTAGATTGCTTGTAAGCCTCGTGAAAGAGGTCGACTGGGACCAGGTTCGTTTCTAAACAAGCATGCTCGATTTTTATGACAGACAATAAAGAACGGTGATTCTTTTTTTAGGAGGAAACATGTTTTGATGGTGTTTGTCGTGTTTTGGCTCAGTTTTTCATGATAAAGAAAGAATTCTGTAAAGGTGATGCTTTGTCAGGCAAGTGTTTTTATGCCATGTCGAGCTCCATCATAATCTCTTCTCTTATATTTTCTTTATTTGCTTTACTTTTTTCTCAGATCAAACAATTCTTATTCGAATAACCTTCCAATTGTCCAAGTTTTACTGCTCGAAAGAGGCTAGGGAGCAGGGTTTTTTTCTGACCTATATTCTTTGAGATTCGCGTGTTGAACAACCATTGCATTGTAAACGTTATAAAGGTCGTTTTAAAATTTTGCAAAAACGAGCTTCATTAGTTGTTTGTATAGGTCTGGACGAAAGACCCATACCTTGGTTGGCAGTCGTTCGTGACATTCTCGTTCCGCGAGTGAAATCGCACTTGATACCACCAGATTCATTAAAGGATGGTATTGTTCGGCTTGCTGACTTACATGATTTGTATAAGGTTTTCGAAAGGTGCTAATTGATCGTTGCAACGATTAAACTACCATTATTTTACGTTCTGATATGTTAGTTACATTAAACTTACTTTAACCCCTACTTCATCTACATCACCTACAACTATTTTAACATCTACCAAACCTGATTTGCTTTCCTTTGTCTACATTACTTCACATTTTTTAAAATTATCCACATTGGTTGTTCGATCTAATCGTCTCGAAACTTGGTGTATCGAACCTTGGCTTTAATTTTCTCGTACCAAGAAGAATCATGATTGTTTTTTATATTGTATATATAAAATTTTCGTAATTGTATAAGGTTGGTAAAATTCGTTTGTTTTTTACGACATGATTATAACAAGATAAATATAACATGGCAAGTCTGTATAGAACTTTTGTATTTTTTTATATCCTTTAAAGTTCCTTTATTTTCTTGATTTTGTATTTTGCTACTGTAACACTACTTAACTTTATTCATTTGTTACTGGTGCGACTGAGAAGTGGAACTGCGTTCTTAAAGGTATTTGTAAGTAGTGCTATATGAAGATTGTTGTTAAAATTGGTCGTGCTTACGAAGCAGTGACACCGAACATCGTAAATCAAGTAGCAACAAGATTATATATGTGTAGGAAAAATGAAGTGTAAGCGTCTTCCAATTGTTTCGATTTATTTGAACAACTATTTGAACAGTAAGGACTATTTGCTTATTTCACTACCTGAATGCATCATGTTCATGAATCACCGACAATTGTACGGGACTTGGCACCTATTCCACTTGAGTGGAAATTTGCTGTCTAGACAAGCTCATCTCGTAGGATGTTGAAAGCCATGCCGGCGCTTCCTCAGATCGTCAACGCTTGCTAGCTAATGTCTTTATTCCTACCAAAATGGCAGTGATTCCTAGAATTGGTCCTTTGCACCTCCATTCCTTGGTTTGGGAAAATACTCCGGTAGTGAACTTGCTGGAAGGATTCTGTAATACCTCCAAACCACTATGAGGCGGTAGACCGTTTTGTAGTCTGTGGTCCGGTTCATTCATTATAGTTCGCTTTCTCGAAATCATACAATTCTTAAATACTCGGATTTTGATTGCTTAGGTGAGATTTTTACAAAACGATACAAGCGAGTCGTAGCCTTAATGGTTTAATTGCTGACGAGTGCAAAAGGTAAAAAGGCGAACGACGTGGTACATCGTATTTATCGCTTCTTGCAAGACATCTAAATCGTCTTTTAGCAGGCTAAAATGTAGGTTCTTATTTCTATGATTCTATTTATTCTGTATTCTGTTCGGGATCAGATCGTCTATCTATGTTGGTTTGACGATGTTACCCATCATTGATGAGTAGTAGCAACGACGGGGTCTGACATGGCTATGTAAATAAGGCGGTTCTTTCGGGATTTGTCCGTTTATACAAAGGTCGTACAGGAGCAGCATTTCTTTTATGAGCCGTTTTTGTTCGGTATCGTTTTTTTTCACATTCAAACGGATTTGTGATCATAAGGAATGCATTATTTCCAAGTGTGTCGTCGATCATTCAGTGATGAATATATAAATGACACAAGGACAGCGAAGAAAGAAAGTACTTCACAGAGACCTGTTTGACAACGGCGCGCCCATAATCGTAGGTAGATGAGCGTTCAGATTAAGCCGTAGAGTGTCACTTGTGAACGAGCGGTGCGTTTCGACTACGGTGAAATGAGGTATGAAAATCTATCTCAGTATAGACGACTGCTCTTATTCAATCCCTAATACTCTATCTAAAAATTCTACTAAGAGGACATCGTTTCTGAAACGATAATTTAAAAGTTCAAAATTTAGAAAATTGGATGTACAGAAGGAGTACATGAGGAAACGTTAGTGAGCGCTAGGTGGTCTTTGACACAGTGGACATTACAGTAGAATAAATCCTCAGGTTAAGCAAAACCCTTACTCGGTGCTTACATTTAAATTTTTGTAATTTTGTGTTTTGCTCTAACTTCTTAAACTTCTCAAAAAAGCAAAGCGTTGCTACGAGTGAAGCCGTATGGTGTCTGAGTTGATGCAGTCAACATCTGTCTTCCACTGATGTCATCGTAGATAATGGCGGCAAAGTGATCTGGTTTACCAATCTTTGTGGGTTACTGTATAGGTCGAAGTATACCTGAAGCCTTTTCAAGTATCTTTACGCTCAAGATCAACCTAATTCGGATTTTCGAAGTGTTTCGTACTATAACTTTTTCTCTCACTCGACTAAGCCTCTTATAAATACTCTAAAGCGCAATTATAGTCGAATCGTAGATATTTCTACGGATCCCGAGAGCCAGCTAGTCACAAAGCTACTGACTAAGCCCAATCCTGTAACTAACTAGTTTAGGTAGATGGACTCCTGTGCAGCTGTGTACTCCGTGAGTGTTCTTTCAAACGTACTGATATCCTGCACGTCGACTCGAACAGATCCAAATAAGCGAGAACTGCAATGAAGATTATCTGTATCGCCCACAACTACGAAGCTTTATGTATTCTCCGGAAGCGCCTGAAGGATCTCTTGCGAACATCCTTTTTCTACGGAGAGAAATGGAAGTGTCTTCACATCCATCGAGCAAAGATGGTAATCCAGTTTCCTAAGAAAGTTATGAGCAATGTGAGAACAACCACAATGATGGTGAGATATTTGCAAAACGCAGACTCCAATCCAGATTCAAACCCGCCATTACCCTTTCGAAGGGCTCACGTATTACCCACTGCACCACTAAAGCTCTCGATGTGCCTTTCTCTAACCCAGTTTTTTCAGCCTAACGATGCTATCAGTAATCACCCGTCAATGGGAATGATCTAGGGAGCACAAATCGACATTCAATCCATTTTAGTGGAGGCTCTTGTCGAAATCTCAATGGATAACTTTTATTTACTGCCTTTTAAGGCAAATCAAGTGTCTCAGTGGTGCAGTGGGTGATGCGTGAGCCCCGGAAAGGACAACCACGGCTTCGAATCTGGTTTGGCGTCTGAGTTTTGCAAACATCTCAGCATCGCCGTGAATAAAAAATTGTACAATATGAGAACACTAAAGGCGTTTTCTCAGGAAGAAACATTAGAGATGCATTTCCGTCCTCGTTTCGCATTAAAAAAAACTCTTGACCTCACTTTTCATCCAGATTGCGGGTGATTTACCAAGGTTCTGAGACAATATCGAGTTCATTGGAGATAAAGCGCTGGATAAGTACAACAATTTTTTCACTCTTAAGCTTCTGCTTTTTGATGGTCTGACCTTCCAAAAGCGAAGAACCAAAAACCCTCTGCAAACCTTATATGGGTTATCGCACCTGAAACAAAAGTACCGTAGAGACAAATCGAACTAGCTATCGAGCTAACTCTAGTTAGAAACACGATTATAACTCATTGTGGTGGAATTAATGGTTACGTTCTCTCAAAGGCGGACTCTTTACGAAATCAATTGAGGTTTTGGTGGATATGATTAAACGCGACAACGAAAAATACTTTAATAGCGACGTGATTGGAATTAATGGGTAATCATATAATCGCCTTTTTCATTTATAACAAAACCCTGTGATTACTTTCTGAATGAATTATCAGAGTGATCAAGATCATTCGCATTGATAAGGTTAAGTACGTCTGATAGCGTTCTAATATGTTCCTAAATGTATCAAGTAAGAACGTTCATTTTTAGATTTTCTTTAGTGTGAGCTAACAGCACTTTTTAAAAGTCTTCGTAGTTCGTCCCTCTATTTGCTAGAATTTTTCATCGCTATCCCCACTTCTCTTCTCTTATTTCGGGTTTATTTGTTACCTGTTTTCTTTATTTAGGAATTATGTCAACATCATCGTCAGTTCCAAAACCTGAAATAACACGCGACGCCATAATATGTGATTGGAAGGTGATTCCTCTACTACAAGTCATAAATTGTGTGATGATTATAGCCATGGTAGTGGAATATAATGGTGAACGTCTACCATAATTCCATCTGCAGCAGTTTATTATTTACATTAAATTGAAAGCTCTACGGTGTAGTCTGCTGATGTTGTACGCATTGGATGAAAAAGCGTGGTATGTTCGTTGGAAAGGATTTTCCTCACGACTGCGATGAATGCGTTGTCATGAAAAATTCCTTCACCTGAGACGTGAAGACATAGAAATGGATAGCGTAACATGTGGTACACAAGGCCAAGAGAGCAAGCAGGTGTTGCCATTCGACTGACTCCATCCGAACTTAGTTCCAACTACACATACTCCTGCTGCCTCAGCGCTCAACAAGACTAGGTGATCGTGATTATGAAGCGCTGTCTCACTATCCGAGATATGATGTGTGCCGGAATTCGCAGCTTCGTCGGAGACGATCACCATGCCTTATATGATAGGAAGATTACGATCGCTACTTTCAGCGTGTCTTGTTGAGTCTCAACATTTTCGAAATTATTCAATAACATTCGGATAGGTACATCTTCAATATTTTTTCTCTTTTTTCATTTTTAGAAGGTAAAATATGACAGTGTTGGTTTCCTTTATTTTTCTGCTATTTCTTAGTAGTTCAAGTGAATATTATTAACGGGATAAGTTGAAACGTTATATCGAAACCTCAAAATATCGACAATTGGAGAATGCTAGATGTTTGGAATTAGCCCGAGTCGCCTTAGTTTTGTTACCTACCAGTGATTGTTTTTTCAAACAGGTCACTCGAAAAATTGGTTCCGGTGGATTTGGTGCCGTTTACGAGGTTGAAAAGGACGGTATACGAGGAGCACTCAAGACAGAATTTGTCGATCAAAAAGGCGAGCGAAGCGAAACACTCAGAAATGAGGTGCGATGAGTTCAACACACACTGGTAGTAACATTCAAATATAAACGCTTTGTAGGTTATCTAACTTATCTCATGAGTATTACGAATTAATTAGATAACATTATAGTATTAGATAGCGCACCTTCCATTTGTCACTGTCACGTGCCAGAGTACCCCGTGGGCTTTGCTCGTTCAAATTCTGGGGTTTTCGTGAAGAACTCTAACCATCAGGTCGGTGCTCTCTTTCTACAATACGTTTGACATCCCGAGGAATCCAGCCATTAACGCTGCTTGTCTATCAGTTGTCGTTCATACGCATTACGTCTCAGACCCACCTTATCTTCGACAGTTTGGCGTTTAAAACGGTATCTTTGATTCCTGACCGTTCACCGTAGGTGAGAGCCCTGGATACCCTCCTGTAGCGTGATACTGGATAGCTGTGGTATCGTCTTTTCGACTGCACGTTCTACAACGTTGAATGATCGCTGATCCTGTTCGAGCAGCGACCAGATCTCTAACACATATATTAAGACAGAAATTTGTGGAGTTGAAAAGGTGAGCACGAATTCGGGTGTTCTTTTTTCTTTTCACTACATTATCGATTTTTTTGAAAGCTCTCCAAGCCGCTTGCTTCCTCTTGCTCAACTCTGGAACGTTCCATCTAGCATAAATGGGGCATACGATACCAATCCGTTTCTCATGAACATCGCTTTGGTGAAATTTAGGCGAAGAGCAATCCCTCCACAGACGTTACCAAAGGCGCATAGCATCCCGTATGCCTGGCTAATGTTTGGTGTTATAAGAACGATGTCATCAGCAAGGCGAAGATGGTGTAACTGCCGACTATCGGTTTTCACTTCCATGTTGTCCCATTCCGATATTCCCATGGCGTCCTCAAGGGTGACGGTAAATAACTTTAACGAGATGGTATCGGCTTGCCTAACTCCTGTTTTGATGTCGATGTTAATATCGTTGCAGAATGGTAATATTTTGGTTGTGAGATTTTTATATAGCTCACAAAGAATCTTCGTATACTTGAGTAGAGACATTCTAGCCGTTAAAAGCTTCCATGACTGCGTCTGTCTCAGCTGAGCAAAAGGCCTTCTTTAAATCAGTGAAGGTGAGACAGAGCGGTCTTTGGTGTACTCGCGATACTTCAATGAGTCCTGTTATCTTGAGGATATGGTCCATCTTACTGACTCATTTTCGAAGCCCTGCTTACTCACATGGCTGTTTTTCGCCCACTGTACAGTAAGCATATTGGGCAATAGTTGCCGATATCGTGGAGCTCACGCTTTTTGAACAATGGTACGGACTTGCTGGTCTTCCATTGATCAGGTGTTCAGATTTTATCCTGTCTGGACCTAGTGTTGTTCGAATTTTTACCGCCGAAATAGCGTGTAGGATTTCGGAAGGGAGAACCGGTAGTACGGCATATCGATCCTCTTTTATTCCATATCAGGGCAACAGGAACTGGTTATTGAGGAGATCTGAGTAGTAACTGTGAATGATTTCCTCCGTTGTGGAACCCGTAACAGGTTCGTCTGGGCCTTGAAGTGCAATCATCTTCCTTCTTACGTATATGTTCTAGCGAATTACCCTCATTGAACTGATGCGAGGTTGGTATACAGTTGTCGTCCGCTCATCAAAGCCGTACGCTCGCGACTCGAACTGAAGTGCATTGGTGGTCCTGTGGTGAAATGCCTGCTTGCCACGCGGGTATCCGGGTTCGAGTCCTGGCCAGTGCACCAGTTGTGGTGACGTTCACAGTTATAAGAATACCACATTGTCAATCATTCTATCGTTATGGGAGTGAACGTCACCACATCTGGTGCATTGGCCGGGAATCGAGCCCGGCTCGCCCGCGTGGCAGGCGAGCATCCTACCACTGGACCACCGATGCACTGGAGGGTACACGCTCTAATAACAGCATGAGTCTGAGGAAGGCGAGATCGCCAAAACGTTAGCTATGTAACAACAGCAACGAAAACATATAGCAGCTTCGCATCGGCTTAACAAAGGCAATTCGTGAAACACATATATAGATATACCAATTATTTATGACGAGTTTATGCAAAGCCGGTCGCTTTTCGCTTGAGTCATCTTGATTTCGTACTTTCCAGCCTGTGCAGTTTAGACCATAGCTGCAGCTCTTCGTTCTTTCAGATCTTTTAGCACCTGTTCGCATTGTTTTGCAAGTTCTGACGCGGGTTGGTGGTTACTTTAACTCGCGCAATTCCACGCTGGCAAATAAGCTCGAATGCTTCTGGAGACAGGCGTTTCTTGGTGACTTTCGGACTCTCAACTTTCATAGCGTTAGGCTGAAGATCTTAATAGGTTACTCTGCAAGCTCTTTACGAAGATTATGCTGTTGTGCATGACAAGGACATTAGGTGAGGACTAGTGAAGCAAGCAGGATTTCGACAGAGATTTTGCTGGATGGACCACATCCAAACTGCGTCCAGAGTCATTATAGTTTGTCGGGGGTACCACCTGCCCATAGTCTTACTTTTTGTGCGCTATGAAAAAGCGTTTGACAGAGTCGAAACGAATGCAATCTTACTAGCAGTCGTCGGCCAAGACGTGGAACCGTTATACCATAAGAAAAACCTAAGTGTTATCAGAACTGTACCACGAAAATACAGCTTTCCCATCAGCCTCTTACCATACATACATAGGAGTACGCATACATCGGCAGAAGACCGAGTTCATGGAACACCCATTGTGCGATAGCACTCAGATCAAACTGGATGGTTCTCTGAAGCAGAGTCCACCTCGTACGTATACTTTGGGCGATCAATGAACATAGAAAACAACACGAGGGTGGGATTAGACAGGGGAAGAGATGAGCTTGGGCTGTATTCGGATCTGTTAAAGAAGCCACCGAGCAATTGAAAGACCCGAAAATCCGCGCTCACCTTTTCCATTCCGCGGTCCTTCCAGCACTGTCTTATGCTGCAGAGATGTGAGCTGATACATCAACCACGTCTGTGATACTGCGCACTACTCACAAAGCTCTTGAACGATGTCTTCTGAAATATAACCGGCACACTCAATGTTTAGCCGGAATGCGAAGCTCTGACCCTCGAGACCTATCCCATCTTAGGATCCAGGAGAGTTTACACCGATAGCGAAACTCAAATGGCCCGGTCACACAGTGAGAGAAACAGACGAAAAACGGACGAAAAAACGAAAAGCACTGTAGAGTGGACTCCACAAAGGTGCAGGCATACTCTAAGACGACCACGTACACGTTGGGGGGAAGTGTTGAACCAAAGTTAATCAGCTATTTTACCTTTTATTTTCTGCCTACTACAATTTTCACGGTAGGGTACTAAGCGAAATGCAATGACAACGTTGCTGAGATATTTGCAAAACTCTGGACAGCAGGTCCTATTGTTGGGGAACGAGCGCGCTATTGTCCTTTGCGGGGAGTAACGCGCTAACCACTACACCAAACGGGTCCTTTGTTTCGCCTTTCTCTCAAATCAATGGGCTCCCCAGATCAATCCCATTGACGGGTGATCTGGCGCTGGTCGATAGAACCAGCTAAGAGACGGGAGAAACGAAGGACTCGCATGGTGTGGTGGTGAACGCGTTACTTCCCGGAAAGGACAATAGCGCGCTCGTTCCCCAACATGGACACCTGCGGTCCAGAGGTTTGGAAATATCTCAACAGTTGTGGTTAATCAGGTGTACTCGCAGCTGCAGTTATTTTACAGATCACGGTATGAGACTCGCACGCGCTACCATGCTCGAACAAGACCACCACCATAGACGACGATTGCGTGGGAAAGAAACGAATCGCAAATGTGCTGGGGTCCGCACATTTCGCGAAGAGGGACCGTCGAAATATCCAAAAATCCAAATAACGTGAAGATATTGGCTGAGCGGATCGTATTCCTCGTCCATGTTGTCATGAACAGCATCTTCGCAACGGCCGACTAGTGGGCTGAACAAATCCCAGTTTATGGATGTAGGACTTCGTTTTTGAATTCGTTGGCTTTTTCTCCTTTCCGCGAGAAATAGAATCTTGCGCGAAGGAGGTGGTGGTTTGATCCCGTGTTAAATTTTTCGACAACAGCGACATGGGTTAGGACTAAAGCTTCGATTTACTATGACGTGGTCTATTTCATTATGGAACTCTCCACTGGGAGGCTCCTACATCTAGCGTTGAGGGTGCGGCTTCTGAAATTGCGAGTTAGCATGAATGGCCCTGGTCCACATGAAAAACTCGGAAAGCCGTTCACCTTGCGTGTTCCATTCCAATCCGTGGGTCCCTAAATGATGTTCTTTTGGATCGAGCCTTAACGTTAAAATCCGCAACGATGAGCTTAAAGAATGTATAGTCTTTTCTGCGATTTCGGTTCGTGAACGACGAAGTTAAAGCCGGCATTGATCCACATCTCTTCAACCGTGCTAAGTTGTTCGAATGAATCGATGTGTATGAGCGAACTGGTGTTGACAGGAACGCCGACACCGCTAATTCCTCCACTGCCGCATTTTCCGGAGAACAGTTCTTCTCCGGTGTCATAGACGGCGTTGAATGGGTGGCGTGTACGTTATCCTTCTTGCTTGCTTGATCATGTCTTCTATCCAGGACTCCTATGCAAGTATGTGTGCATTGTAGGTAGAGATCGTCACCATAGTTCTTTGAAATCTAGGCAGCTTCCATTGGCCCTGAGATTTCAACGGCCTCTCCGTACTCCTCCTACCCAACGCTACCGAATCGGAGGCTCTTTCGGGGTCACTGAGGCCCGTTTCTTTTATTGTATTTAGCGCTTGGTACCCACGTATAACTTGTTGAACTCTTAACATGCGGGCTCGGTATAATCACGGGTAGCTAGGTATTGTCTCCCAAAGTAGACGAGGAGCTTATTTATTGAGGTGGTTCTTAACCGCCTCACATATACTCTCCAGTCACTTGATTACTCACTTTTGGCCGAATTGACTCGTAGAATACAATCCGTATAAACGAGAGCACACGTACGCACACATGAATGTTTTCGTAAATACAAAAGATATGTGTCAAATCGGCATAGAAGCTAGAAACGGGGTTAATCATAAGGTCCCTTTGGTACGCGATTACCCTCCCCCACCCCAACAACAATTCGATAGTGGCCAGCGACATCCTTGATACCTCTCGGAAGTTGAGCAAAACCAACACGAACTGCCCTTAGTTCACTTCCCGTGCTCTCCAACTTTTGTTTGTAGTGTAATAAACGGATGTCTTTTTCTTGACAATGTAATGGCCTATCGAGTTCGCCGTTAATCACAAATTTTCTAGTCGTTGCTGGTAATACTTTTCAGTAAAATTACAGGTGATGCAGCTTCGTGTGATGCAATGGTCGTCACATTTTTGCCGTTTATACTTGGCATGTCGTTTACGTTGTGGGAAGGAGATAGTTAACGTCATGATTATGAGCCTGGTGGAGCGGCCTCTATCACGGTAATATCTGATCCATTACTAAAGTGGCGAAAGTAAAAGTGATGAATCCATCACGATAAGCAGCTATATTCATTTCTGCTTTTTATTTCACTTGGCCGTCGGATGCGGTAGCATATAGTTCACATAATGATAATCTATTAGACATAATCATTCTATAAAAACAAAATGTTACACTTGATGCACATTTCGTTGCCGTAGATTTGTTCGCTTTCTAGCCAGTGATATTTTAGTGTTCTAAGGAAATTGTTAGTTCCGCCTTGATTATTAGTTGGATGAATTGTACGACGCAGCACCATGCTTCCCTAACAATACATTGGTGGCGATCCAAGCTTCCTTTTAAGAACGTGATTTGTATCCACTTACAAGACAGCGTAGAAGTTTTCTAATTTGATCACCTTGACTACTTCAGCAGAAAAACTGTGATTTCACTCATAATCTTGACATAACTTTATATGGCTGCACTAAAAGCAGTTAGTATTTGAGGGTCTCTTGTTCTCGTAAATGCGGTAGTACTGGAAGCTGTTGGTTGCAGTGATTGAAGTTTAATTTTTCTCGACATTCATTAATCCTAACAGTCATTTCTTTTTTCCTTTGGACTAAATCCTTTCTTCGAAGGCTTCGTCGTATGACGCCCGAGTCTCGTTTCACTCGCTCTACTGCTGTAAGATTGTCAAGGCAGTGCCTAGAGGTGAGAATCAAATATGATTCTAAAGGATTAGATAGAAAGAACAAGGAAAAAACCGTCTATGCAATAACGTAATGTTTTAAAAATATAGTAATAACCACAACGACGCTAAGATATTCGCCAAACTTGGACTCCGGGCCAAATCGAACCACGATTTCCCTTTCCAGGGGTTCGCGCATTACACACTGCGCCACGGAGGGTTTGTAATTCACACCATACTCTGTCGTGAAAAATTATGGTAGGCAGAAAATAGGGGTTAACATTGTACTAGTAACCTTCAAAATTGAAGTAGGATAATACATTTATTCAACGCAATAGTTCAGAATTCATTTTGAAAGTGCTTTTGGTTTCTATGAATCTATTTATAAACATCGTTATAAATGTAAGTAATACACAGGCGATCCACGACCTACATCGAACCGGCATCTTACACCGTGATATAAAGGCTAGTAATTTTGCCTGGTCGGCAGAGCGTATAGTCTACCTTCTGGATTTGGGATTTTGTAGAAGATTTGTAAGTTTCTTAACACTCATATGTAACAAAGACGCAAATCAAGAACTAAGACCAGTCCTGTGTTCCGCTTACATAATATTTTATTGATTTGCAGTTAGCTTTCACCGACCAACAAGTCATCAAGCACCGCTCACCAAGGAAGAAGGTTGCATTCCTCGGTACTAGCAAGTACTGCTCGTTGAACATGCACAAGAAATTGGATCAGGGTAGAAGAGACGATTTATGGGCTTGGCTTTACATGACCGTCGAATTCATGGCGGTAAACACGCATCTTCTTCTATTCATATTACTAACGAGGTTATCGCTGTCCTACCCAATTTTTAGGGCAAACTAATCTGGCGTAACGATGAGGACAAAGTGATCGAGAAGAAGAAGGAGAAGATCGGCTCGAGACTACTGCTGAAGTGCCCACAAGAGATGTACATGATCTATGACCATATACGATTTCTTGAATTTGATTCGAAGCCAAACTATGCTCTTCTACGGAAGCAACTGGACCGGGTAAGATGATAATGAACCAGAAAAATGAATTCTGGGTCTGTATAGCGCCGTATTCATTCTGTTTGTAGCAGTCATCAGGTGGGCAATGTTCTCACATGAATCTCTTCATTGCTGAACTAAGTTTGCACAACTAGATAAATTACATAGATAGATAGACTATCGTCTTAAATGCGATGAAACCAAGGCCGGCCGTAAGCCCCTAATATGAGAACAATATTAGTGAAATGTTAAGATAAGCTCCAAAACCGTGCTGAGGTCTATGTAAAAAAAAATCGTGGACTTTTTATCAAGGCTGTGTGAATGGAATTACTGTTGTCAGTGTAGCACCATTTCTGAGCATTAAATCGCGAATATTTCCGAAAACCAGATTTTGTCATCATAATAGATCAAGTTAGCTATTCAAACAGAGGATCCCTGAACTGAATGAAAAACTTCGGATTAGAAAACGTCATCCAACTTATTGCATTATCTGTCCTCCTGATCCTCCAGCTAATTGTGCTGGTGAATTTCGCTTCACTTTCTTATTCCTTTTGGAAAAGTCAGAGCAGTGAATCGAAGAATCAGCGGATTATTGTAGCATAACTACATCAGCTCGAGTAAAAAGATAGAAAAAACAAGGCTCTTGGCGTTGATTAACCTCTGAGAGATACGCCATGCATTCGACTTCATTAAGCATCGTTCGGAGGTGATTCAATGCATATCAGGCCTTTACAATACTCGTGGTGGCCTACTGATGTATCGAGCCAGTGCTACTATCCTCCCAGGCGAGTCTGGTACAATTTGCCGACTCCGGAGGAATGGAAGGCTTGGTGAGCTATGGGTGCGGGATCGATTCCACGCGTGTGCTGTATGGTGCCTCCGACCACTGCGCCACAGGCGTTCTTGGCTACAGCAAAATCTATCTGGCATTTAAACTCTGTTAGTATTGGAGCAGCAAGATTGTGTAAAACAGAACTCGAATTCCCTTGTATTTTTTCGAATTTCTTCGTATGTAATTGACATGATACTTTAAATTTCGTCCAATGGTTTACTTCCTCATCATATTTGGGAAATGTTTCTAGGTATCGAACCGCGAAGAGACTATACAGTGGGGAGTTCACTCTTTCAGTATGGTTGCCTAAGTTGTGAAGAGGGTTTTTTTCATCACGAAGCTCGGCGTGAAGTATACGTACGCCAGAGCTGGGGAGAGGAATTCGCCCATGGTTATCATATCGCTCAAAGCACCAAAAGTAGTGTTCTTCTGCAGGAAAAACGGCACTTCATGCCCTCAAGAAAACAGATTCCACTGAACAACTCTGCCGTGCATCGACGAAATTGAGTCTTGCTGGTGTTCGCTCAAATTGCTCGATCACTGATGATATCAGCGGTAAAAAAAGCATAAAGGACAAAGGGTTCAGCGTGGATCAGTTTTTGATGCTTGCCAGATATTTGACTCAATCGAACATCGTTAGAGGTGATTCAATGCAGATCTGGCCTACCTAAGGACTTGCGCTGGTGTACCGTTAAATTAATTTAGTGTTTTTATTATCGGAAGTAGGTTTGGTATCAATATGTCAACTCAAAGCGATGAAAGGCTTGGCAAGACTAGGAAACGGTATCGAACCAACGCGTGTGTATTGGAAGGCACCATTAACCACAGCGCTACACCCGCTCCATTAAGTACCTTGAGCATGAAAATAATCTGAACCGATTATTGAAATGTTTCTGAAACAAGTTTTTCGGTACTGAATCAGTGTATGTTTAGATTTGTGCTCGTCTTAATTACTCAGAAGATCAACCCTATGACTGGGAAGAAGGAGGCTACTATCATAGTTATTACAGTAAAAAATCAGACACCGAAAAGGATTTAACTGATGAGGAGAAAGACGTGTTGGGTGATTTTCATGTTTACGCTATTGATGTCAATACTATATCTTGAATTCGCTTTCAGTGAAACGCATCAGAAGAATGTCGTCACCTGTGATGAGGCTACCTACGAAAGAATTGTCGTCTCCGACTGAATCACCTTCACCTTGGCCAACACTCCATCAAAGCCATCTATTTCTGAATAAAGCCATTTATTTCGTGAGATCCTCTTAACTATAACTGGTGATTATTCCAGTTTATCATGTGCTGGTCTAGCGCACTGGTTGAAACTGCCTTGGAATACCCACGTGGTCATTGTTTCGATCCTTCGCCCAGGCCAACCAAGTCTCCATCCATCCGGGGTCTGCAGATTAGTACTAGATCTCTCTGGGAGTGAAAAAAAACTGAATTTATACATCTTGATAAACCAGTGCAAATTCATTATATTAGTCAAACATGCATTTAATCTTATCTATAATGCTGTTGTGGAGTCGAATTCACGGCTCGTTCTCCAGCGATTAACCAATGACAAACGCTTTATCCTACTAGAAGTAAAAGTAAAAGTAAGTAAAAGTAAAAGTGTGCTTTTTTGAACTACAGACAACCTGTCTCCCCAATGCTTGCATACAATTCGTTTCCTCACATCCATCATCCATGAAGATATTCCAACTCCTTGCTTGTGGTTTCGCTGCAGCCTAAGGATTTCCCCATCGTCGTAAATGTCGTTCAATACTAGTTGACTTGATTCTCACTGCTGTCTCTACATAGCTTGGCGAGGATGTTCCCACTTAGGCTTTAAAGGGTGGAGTTTTCCCAGACAAGTCCGGAACTAATTTCTCGACCCGGAAGGCTTGGTGGGTCCTGTACGGGGTCGAACGAGCACCGTGCTCATGATGTTCGGCATCACTCCCATTACGCTGTCCTATCGCTAATAGTGCGTTTTGTTTCAAAATGCAATTCAAAAGGATAAGGCTTCACACAATACTTTGATTATTATAGCAGAATGTTCTTAATGTAGTTCTTAGTGGACACCTTTGTTCTTATTTCATACTTAAGCCGAACACATGAATTTAAAGCAGGATGCAATTCTTTTACGGACGGTGGAGTAAACTTATAGAGAACTTCTATACCTGAGTGACTCTTCTTTTCGTAGAATCTATGCATTTCTCAAGAATATTTCCATCCACTTCTTATTCTGTCGTCACCTATGGTGGTGGCTGTTCCACCTATGGTGACGTCTGCGAATATCATTCCGCGATTTTTAAATTGCTTCCAGCTGAGATCACAGCTGGTTGAGGTGATCCAACAAGGCTTCAAACCACAATGTAGATGGTCTTTATACACAACGCTTAAATCCTGCTGGATTCCTCTCTACCGTTCATTTTCTCTAATTCTCACTTTCTTCATAACATGAGCGGATCACCAGTGTTTCCTTTTCGAAGTACGTTCATCCTATTCTCGAAGGTGGAATAATGTTTAACGTTTTGTTTTCTGCCTTCTATAATTTTCATGGCAGGTTACTAAGCGAAATACAACCACAACGTTGCTGAGATATTTGCAAAACTCTGGACCGCAGGTGTCTATGGTGAGGAACGAACGCGCTATTATCCTTTCCGGGGAGTAACGCGTTCATCACCACACCATGCTTTTTTCCTCCGGTATTGTTCGATAATATAACGATGTTGTCAACAAAGCAAGGTTTTGGTAACTCACTGCCTCAGTGCTCATGTCCATTTCTTGTGGCAATCGTAAGTGGCCGATAGAAGATCGTATAATCGTGTCGCAGTTGCATTTGAAATTGACTAGAGAACCACTACTTGTTAATGGAGTACTACAGCATTGGTTTCGCTGTTGCTGAACGCTTTTTCATAGTCGAGAAAGGTTAGGGCGAAAGCTAAATGGTATTCCTAGGGAATTTTTCATACCATGCATCTCCTACGGTTTGGATGTTGGCCATGTAGCAAAGCAATTGGTGTGGTTCTGTTTGCCCCACTCGTTGAGCTTTGTCCAGCGTTTGTAGTCATGACAAGGTAGTTTTCGAGATGAACTTTGGACTATAGTTAAGCAAATTGGGTAGTATTACGTTACAGACTGTCTTTGATGAGTTTACACGAGGTTGCCAGCACGCATCTTGAAGCTTGATGGCTAACATTCGGGCCACTTTGCACTCTTTATAGTCTGGGAGTATTGTTATATTGCCTTATCCCCGTTATTCGGTAAATATTATATGGTCTTAATGAAAATCTAACGTATGAGCCGAACCCTATTCTGTTAAAATGTACTCACCGTTTTCGTTTCTAATAGTATACGAGTGGTCTCACCTTTTGAAAACGAAGACGGTGAGTACTCTTCAGTAGATTACGGTTTGCTTTGTGCTTTAAATTTTCTTGAGGACTATGGAATATTCACCGAGTAGTACGGACAGGACTACATAGCAGTACTCCTGGGCTCTAGAAAAGGTGAAGTCGCTGAAAAGTTAGCTATTGGCCTTCAACCTACGTGTTAACAACCTTGTATCAGCTCAGAAGAAAAGTTCGTAAAACAATAAAAACTGATTCTCAATGCCAGTATTATTCGGAAGTCTGTCTTTTCAAATATTACGGAACTGTCCAGTAATTGCGAAGACTCCTTCCGTTAGCCATCAGTGAGAAGATGACAAGATCCTCCATTGACTTGGGATCGTTTCCTTTCGGTGATCTTCTTATATCCACTTCAGAGCAAGTTAGTTCGCGGCTTCCAGGTCAAAGGAAAGCTCTAATGATATTTGATTACCGAGCTATTCCTCTTACTCTTGATCGAAGAATTAATGGACTCCTGAGTGAAAAATTCGTGGTTTTCTCTTTAGCGTGGATTTGACGGCTTAGAATTATGTCGTAGAATGGGAAGTATTGCAGTAGAGCTCTTCCCTTAATTTCATGCCATGGCACCAGATGATATACTCCACTTTCTCACTTGTTTGTAAAATGCGGTCTACAACACTTGGAAACTTAAATAATCCATTCTCACACGTGCTGATCTCAGCACCTTTTTACTTTGCTTAGCCGTTCTGTTACCGTCACCCATATGAGTGGTCAGAGTCATGCGCTGGTTTGCTAACGTTGTGTGGATATGGTAGTTTCCCCTTAGGTTTACTTAAATTTGACTTACTTGGGCAATGAAGATATCATCCTACGTTTCAGGTTCCTTCCCCACCATAACGGAATATTACATCATATTACGAAATAAACTTATGCCGTAAGTTCTCCACAACCGTTATGCATCGATTTCGCAATATACCTGCAATTTGCAATCCCTGCTTAGTGTGGGAACGCTCCACCCATCAGCGTATTGTTACTTGAACATTACTGCAGGGGATATTTTGCCATTGCTAGTATTTCTTTGTGCTCTTTATATCATCCATGCTTACTGATCACGTTATCGTTTATATTTGCTATACGTAAGCTTTGGTTACCACCATATGTAACTATGGCATTGTTGTGATACCGATCATCGCAAGCATGGAGCTGGTTCGAACTCGCTGCAAGCTCAAATACTTTCATTCTTCTGTGACCGAGAAATTGGTCCTAAACTACATTGGGAATAGCTAACTCCCTGCAACTCAAGTGAGAAAGCTTTGTCCCCGCTGTGCCAGGATTTCAGAGAAAGTCGGCTTGACCAATATTGAATGACGCTCATAGAGATGAAATCCTCAAGCAGTAACCTAACTCACACATGAAAAGTACAGAAAAGATTCCCTAGTGATGTTTGTGAGGAAACGAATCCAGTGAAAAAAGCATTTGGTCCATACAGTAGATGTGAAGACTGGTTGAGTAAAGTAAATAGGTGAATAAAGACATTTGCTGAGGTTAGAGATCTGACTTTAAAAGAAAATCGAACAAACTGGTGTGGCAGAACGTATCGCGCAACGATCGAGTACTCTGCTTTAGAAATCATTGCTAATTGTCTTTTCCATTCTTGTGAGATCTGATATAATGTTATGGCGCAGCTATCGCCCTACGCCTCGTTGTATAACAAATCCATCAATGTTTTCCGAGTATTCTACTGTGTTTTCTGTTCAGTACTGAGAATGAGGTATTCCTTTCTGTACTACTAAGATCGGCTTAGTGTCTAATGCGTTGGGTATTCCCTAGAAAACAAAAAGCAACAGCAATGTAAGCTTTTTTGCGTAGCATGAAAATGGACGAATGGATGTGAACATGTAGGTCGGGAACCGCTAGTGCGTAAGTGGCCTCCATAAGAGTTCTGAAGGTGGCCCATACCGTTCGTTGTCTTCTCCTTAGTTCTTCTTTGAAGTCTTCATCCATATACGTTGAATATTTCTGATAAACGTAGGTTGTCATCTCATCGATCGGTGATCCATGCGAAGTAATCCGTCTCCCTTCATGTCAAACATCATTCCTGAACAGAGCTACCTTCTTATTGTACAGCAGTCTTGTATATTCTATGTTTCATTGAATTCGACAAGAATAGCCTGCCTCAAGGAAAGCGTTGGAATAGGTAACGTCGGTGAAAAGAAAGTTGTACTGAAATCACTCAAGAACTTTTTTCCACTTCTTTTGTACCTCCTTATTGTACTAATCCAACCAAGGTAATCTGTTTCCTTCACTATTTTAAATAGTGACTAATCATCGGAAACATGATCGGTCGAAGTAAATAGAATAATTATTGGAATAAGCAAGTTTTCTAGCACAGGACACATCCTAGTTAGAACCAAAGTGAAGGTTTTGGTGTTCATGTTGTCAAATGTTTCCTTGTATTTAACTAAAATTAAGGCGGCGTTCAGGAGCTTTTCTCAGAAGAGCTCTACGACTTTTGAAACTGTTTCTTTGTGGTCCGTACTGCAAAATTCTTAGTGGAATCTAACATGTTATGTAGCCAAGGCCTGTTTCCAATTCAGTGAGGACTGGTCCAAGTACTTTGTAAAACGAGAAGTTGGCACGCGAAGTCCTATATTAGATTGGATAGCTATTCCATTTGGAAGTATGACGTATAAAGGATATGTTGTGGTCGCCAACTAGTGCTAGATTAGCTGAAACAGTTTCAATCCCAGAGTCGTGCGAAGTCTCATTAGCATTCTATTAGCGGCTTGAACTTCTGCACAGATCTTTGGTAGTGCACTTACACTGAGGAATGGCAAGTGTAGTACGAATGTTGTGAATCGGAGAAGATTGTATGGAATCTCCATTGTTGTAGATTGCATCTCACAACAAAGCGAGGAGTGGAATGCTACATTTGCCAGAATCTTGACAACATTTCTTTACGATCTCCTCTTCATGCTGGCTCCAAAATCCGTGCCTATTGTCACGGAAGAATCACTTTCACTGCTTTTCGGCGAACTGCTTTGATAACCTGCTGCCTAATGTGTGTCGGAGAAGCGTATGGTTGTATGATTCTTCTATTTTTCAGGAGTTCTTTAGTTTAGGTTGTTTACAACTTGTCGTTATATTTAAAAAGAGCTTTCTTGTCTCAGGTTCGGATATATCCTAGGAGCATTTCGCAGCCTTCCCAGACTTTCTTCTAGCGCCAGTTCGAGGTGATTGTATACTCGGTGTAAAAAGTTAGAATAACATCAACTTCGGATAAATCTTTCTTTTAACCCCACTTTACGAAATGGTAACCCCACGAGGTAAGTTTAGAAGGAGAGCGACGCGCCCACGCGAAACACTTGGCCAAAAGAAAGTCCCGTTTATGTTGCCTTTTATAAGCGATGAAGTAAGCGTAGCTATAAAACAATGCTTAAGATGGTCAGGTCTAGAGGAATCGGTAGCGATAGTTGAAATACCACCGGCTACTCTACGTTGCCAATTAGTTCGCAACCGCCTGTATGACCGTCTGTGTGAAACAACAAATTGCGTAATTTGCCCTTACGGCAGGGACGGTGATTGCATGAGTTCAGGTACGACATACCTGATCTCTTGTAATAATTGCGGAGATGAATATATTGGCAAAACGGGCGGACCTTTGTGTATCCGTATAAAAGAAGACCTAGATGGCAAACGAAAACTAAAGACGAAGCACCCCACTAGGCACGCATAGGATACAAAAGCATAACGAAGACGATTTTGAAGTAAAAGTCAATATTCTTGCACAGGAGACTAAAACACCAGCGCGAAAACTTCTAGAGGCTTTTTGGATGAGTGCCAAAACCCTACATTGAATGCCCACAGGTCATACGCGATCTGACCCCGTATGTTCGCATCAATTCCTGATGTGGGATGGTGCAGTCATCAACCATATGCGACTATATTCAGCTGTTCCAATCCTCCTCATTGAAAGTCACGTAAAAAGCGGTGAGTTTTTCGAGAAGCTGTTGACCATGTAATTACCATAGAGTTTTTCGTCTTTTTGTAAGTGTTATTGAAGCGTTTGGCCTGGTAGATTGTATATCAGTATACCCCTCCAGGCTCTGAAGAAGGCGATACTGCCGAAACGTCAGCTAGTGTTGTATTGCATTGTGTTTTTCTATGGAAGTAAATCTATGCTGTTTAAGAACCTCGCGATTGCTGGGCAAGAAAACGACGCATTCATATTCCAATGCCGAGGTTAATAGAAAGTCGATCCTGGGAGCTAATCTTTCTTTTATCATCAAAAATATCGACGTTCTACTATAAGTCTGGGTAGTTGGTAATCCTCCACCTGATGTGCTCTTTGTTCCTGTAAATTCCACAGTCTCGTGAATCATTCAATCTCGTTTTGACCTGTCTAAATTGCATAGTAAAAACTGACCCACTTATGAACATTGGGCATGTCCGACTAACGCTTGATACTAAAGACCTTGTATTTTCATTTCGCTAAAAGCTTTCATGGCTCTCGAATGCCCAGTCTGGGTCGTATAACTTTGAAATATTATTGAAGGTGAACATTTACCAGGTAATGTCACCTTTTTCACCTGCACTGCCTATACCTATAGTCTCATTAAGCTTCGAGTAGCTCAGCGTGGCATCAGTAAACCTTACAGTCGTCCTTATCATGCATTCAATCAAAACGGCTCTACTTACCCTTCTCATCCATAGTTCCTGGATATCTATGATCTGGACACTGGATCCAGGACGCTCTGATATGACTGTTGATATTAACCGGTAGCTGGGCTTTAGGATAGAGATCCGGACTAGTTCTTAACTTCGAGGAGGTTCTACTGATAGATGAATTTTTCGCTGTACAACCTATTTCGACAACGGGAAGCACTCTCTTAGGCACATTACAGTAAACTAATAGGAGCAAAGCAACACAGAAGGATAAAGTGTTCGATTTGATCAATCTCTGATGGATACATATTTGACCTAACAATGACTTAAAATAGCCTGCTTATGTATCAATTCACTGCTATCAACCTCCTAGACAATTCTGGTACCAATCTCCTCACTAGAAAGGAAGAGAAGGCTTGGTGAACTCGATCCGCGGGATGGAACCGACGACCACGTGTTTGTTGCATAGCACAGCTAACCATGGCGTTACATATGCACCATAGTTGAGTATCTCACTTAGTCTGTTTCCATGGAAAGTGAGCAGCCATATTCTGTACATAAAAAAAAGATATTATCCAGACTAACTTATCGGTTTTTTTGAACTAGAATTCTTAAAAAGCAAATAATGTATTAGCAACCTCAGATCTGCTAATCAATAGAACAGGAAGTTATATGCAAAGGGAAGAACTGTGCCTACTTAGCCGAAAAGAAGGGGATGTGAATTTATTATCACTTAAACAATCCGGTAAACAAAGTAGCCATATAAGTTTAGCGTATTCTGAAGTGTAATGTCCGCAGTAGTGCGTACTGGGTACAAATCACGACTTGCCGCCAAAATTTGCAAAGTTTGCTTTCATTTTGCTAGGAGCTCCGTTGTCGATTTTCTTCGTCTTTGTGCAGTTTTTTCTTCTTCTTACGACTCTTGGTTATCAAAGTTCGTCTAAAGGTTTGGTGTTCAATTCAATATGACGCGGCTTCTGATTTCAGAATGGCTAATCGTGTTTTACGGCCGAGACAAACACCCACTGCTGCAGTGGTCTCTCAAACACCTCTTAAGGACGCTATGAGTGAAGCGGTTGTTGGTATGTGCACAAATCTAGATCGGGCTCTTAAAGCTTTTGTTATTCCTTTTAGAATATGTCGGTTCAGTTAAACTATTGAGTCTGGCCATGGTTCGTGACTAGCTTAATGCTTCTAAACTTCAAGCTTTCATTTCGTTATCCGTTGTAAAGTCTTTAGGAGAGATCATCTGTTTTCCTTTGTAGCCGAGTAATGGTACTTACGTACGTACGACTATGGTACTTACGTAACGGGTTTATAAAATTAATTAATAAAATTAAAATTAATGTGTTACTCCCACAAACACACGTCAAACCACCTATGTATACCCTGTTAAAAAAGGTAAAGGTTAAAGTTCTCGGCGATGATCAATACCTCAGAGACGCACCATGCATTCGACTTCATTAAGCATCGTTGGAGGTGATTAGATGCATATCGGTCCTTTACATTGACTGGCGGTGGCCTACCGATGTATCGAGCCGCTGCTGTCATCCTGCCAAACAACTCTGGTACTAATTTTCCAACTCCGGATGGATGGAAGGTTTGGTGAGCCTAGGGCACGGAGATCGATCCCATGTGTATTGCGTGGTGCCCCACGCGTGTTCATTGTTGTTGGAAAACTGATTCTAGGAGGAATGTATTGTATGGGTACTTACGAAATAAATTCTAAACCGGTCGTCGTTTATGTTCGGTAGTAATAATTAATACGTTCTTGAGTTGTTAAGGTAAGGCGAGAATGATAAATAACATAAATACAAGTAGTTATAAAAACCGTCGGAAAAGCGTCTTTTTACGTTATAATGCTCACATGATGAGTTATCCATCGAAACGTGATGTCCTCTAACAAATAGTGGTTTCTAGCATTGAACCACCTATTTTTTTTTCAGGTCGACGGTCATTACCACGTTCCGCGAAAGTTCAGGCTGAGCGCGAAGGGTACAAGAGTCAATTATTTTCATCAGACGAGCGCCATGTAGCCAAGAAGAAGAACGAAATGACACCAGCTACTAAAATTTCACACAAAATTGCTTCAACAGTGAGTGACTTAAACGACTGTACTTCGTTTGGGTTTGTGAAGAATTCAATATGGAAATCTGTGCTCTTGTAGGTTTTGTTGTATCTTTGTCAAAGTGTTGGTTAGGAACATAAGGATAATTTTAGCTAACTATCGAATCGCCGGAGAGCTATAATGAGAATCGTAGATCGTTGTCAAGAACCCGTAGAAGGTCGACAGCACATCGTTCCTTGGAGTTCTCGTCACAGGGTGTGAAGAAAACTCAATGCGAGGTTCACAGTTCTTCCATTTCCGTGTTGTTGCGTACTATCGACTACTTTCGCTTTCGTTACCCCTACTGGCTTTTTGTTACCCTTAGTAATCTAATGTTCCAGATTCTTGAAATTATTCATTAATGTGGGCATTTGTGGCGCAGTGGTCGGAGGCGCCCTGCAATACACATGGGATCAATTCCCGTGCCCGTGGCCCATCAAGCCTTCGATTCTTCCGTGGTCGGCAAATTGGAACCAGACTTGTTTGGGAGGATAGCAGCATTCGGTCGATAGATCGATATGCCACCTCGAGTTATTGTAAAAGCCAGATATGCATTCATTCAACTCCAAACGGTGCTTTGTGAAGTCGAACTCATGATTTATCTCTAAGGGATTGATCAGTGCCGGAAGCTTAATCGTTTTTTCATTTTATCCTTAATATGCGACAATTTCGCTCATTTTAGCTGCTATTTGAGTCGATGGAAATTGAACATGACGAGAATATTCCACCTGTAGGTGATACTGTTGGACGTCGCCTTCCAAGAACAACGGTTAAGCCTGTAAGTAATTTAATAGTTCTTGATTTCTATTTCCTTATAACGGTACTCAGAATTGTGCCTGTTGTAATGAAATGCTTAGACTCCATCCGGTTCTCAAGCGTCCGTAAGAACTCCACTGAAGTTGAAAATTGCGAAGTCCGGTGACAGCGCAAGAATTTCGTCCTCTACTGTAAAGTAGGTTTTGAAAGTTTAAGGTTTTTAGGACTATTCATATCAGAGCTCTTATATACTATATAATGGAGCATTATTGATGGAGATTATTGTAGACGCTGTTCACCTTCTACTACAAAGTTGAAGTGCACTCGTGCTCCGGATGATGCGGAAATTTTACCGGTCTGTCTTTTTTTCATAACAATAATGGTCAACGCATTTGCTGCTACACGCATTGGTTCCAATGCATGTGCGGCCGGAAGTGGTTTGGCTTTTCAAATTTGAATAATTTTCAATCAAGCTCGTATTGAACTTTTTTGCACGAAGCAGAAGAGGTTAGAATTTATACATTTCTGGCAGGCAGATGTAAATTTAGTTAGTCACAACGAAGTTTTTCTTCTCTGGACTCTATAGATCGTTATTTCTTTTCGCTGTAAATTTATCATATTCTGAACTTCTCAAGTATGATTTTTTAGCATCTGTCGAAAGAAGTACGGTCGTGAATGCGTGTTACCTAATAGGCCTAATAGTTATTGTTTCCTTAAACGAAACCCTCATGGACTCGACTAGCCTTCGAGTTCGGGGGACCATCTCATTTCGTAGTATTCTTCACTTTATGCGCTTTCATAGGAGTTTGTTTACTTGCGTGACAGTCATTTCTGTTTCTCCTTTGTACTTGGCTTTGACATCGAATCCTTTCAATTAGCAAATCACTATAATATTTTTGAGATCACAGTACGATTCCGTTCTGTTCTTCAACGAAATGATGGTTCATTAGAGTACCACACGGTTGGACCTGTAAGTTTATCGAGAATCCTTATTTTTATAATTCAGCAAACAATCTCACATACTTCAGGAGAGCCCTTGGGGCATGAAACGTCCGGTGGCTCGAATAATTCCTGCCAAAATGAAGTTGTCGAAGTTGGATCTTGAAGTGGAACGGGATTCCCCTTCCAGTGTAGTTGAATGTGAAGAATCCTCATCGAGTGAGGATTACTCGAGTGTTGATAGTGACGAAATCGACGATTCTTCGTTATACAGCGATGAAGAACTGGATGTCATTAGCGATCAAAGGTGGACCTAACCTTATTAGTGTGGATGTGAAAACTCATGTTAGTATCCCTCAGTGCAAAGAAATTCTTTAAGGAGGAAATCAAACTCTAGAAAGTCGATTCTTTCCAAAACCACCACTCTATTTGCATCTTCGAAGCCAAGAAATGGTTTGCAAAAGACGAAGAAGGATACAGGAGTGAGTCGGAAAGTTGTTCAGTTGGGTGTGATGTTCTTTATAACGTTAATGTTTAGAAAGCGGGAATGTTGGAAAATTTACATCTTCGCCTCCACACAGCCGATGTTCCGGAGCGTATGCTCTGTCGTGAGGAGGTTGGACTTATTAATTACTCTAGGTTTTACTTTGTAAGTCGTAATAGCAGGTATGGTAGTCTCATTCTAACATAGTTTAACGCGGAAAATGTATTAATCAGTGGTAGTTTAGGAGTCACAAGAAGTTGAGAGATTCATACTTGACGCGATATCAACACGCGCAACAAGTAGTGCTATGTATATAAGTGGAGTACCTGGAACAGGAAAAACCGCCACAGTGATATCGGCAAGTTGTCAAACTAATTTCGTAAAAAGGATGAAAGATAGAGCTCTCGGCGTTGATCAACGCTTCAGGGATACACCATGCATTCAACTTCATTAAGCATTGTTGGAGGTGATCGAATGCATATCTGGCCTTTACAATGAATCATGGTGGCCTACCAACGTATCGAGCCAGTGTTGGAAACCTCCCAGGCAAGCCTGGTACCAATCTGCCGGCTCTGGAGGGATGGGGGTCTTAGTGGGCAGGGTCATGGGAATCGATCCCACCTGTATTCCAGAGCGCCTCCGACTGCGGCGCCACATGCGCCCATTGCGTATGCTAGTAGACTACTTCCGTATGTTGACCAGTTCCCTTTCTGTTTATTTCTTGGCAAGTGCAATTTTTGCTAAACCATTCTACTCATAACTGTTACGCCTTGTATATTGTTAGAATGTTTGCTGAAGCTCTGTTAATAAGAACATGCTTGTATGATTTTATACTTTGTTTTTAGATCGTCAAACAATTGATTCGAAACAAGTCCTGTAACAAGTTCACCTTTGCAGCTGTGAATGCCATGGAATTAACTGACCCAAAGACGATATTTGTTGAGATATACAATCAGTAGGTTTTCATAAGTAGTCTTTCTTTTCATATCACCACACTGCTGTGCTATGTAAATTCCTTCCGTACTAGTCGTGATTACGGGCATTTGACTTATTAAAACTCTAAAACTCAAAAGGAGAAGGCAAAAATTAAGAATCGTCGACAACCCAGTCAGGATTTCACCACAAGCGGCACGTAGGAAGTTGAATACTATGTTCGAAATAGCCGACAAGCATCGTCCACCAATTGTGATTCTTGTTGACGAACTCGATCAGCTTTGTACGAAGAAGCAAGAGGTAGACTGATGATAGTTAATCGATGTTCGAAACAGAAATTTATTGCCACTATGTATTGGAGGCATTCATTCAACACCTCATCGTTGTTTTTATCAGTAAGGAGAGTTCCATCTATGTTTCAGTTGATCTACGACATATTCAACTGGGCATCTGTTGAATCGGCGCGTGTATCAGTGATTGCGATCGCCAATACCCTCGATCTTCCCGAGCGAATGCTTAGTCAACGTGTCACTAGTCGCTTAGTTAGTTCTTGATAGCTCTCTTGTTCGGCAGTGATTACATCCTTTGTCGTATATCATTAAATCTAACAAAAATGTCCAGTAATGTTCATGATTTAAAGCTGCTCAGTGGTTTGAATTTTTGACTGGCCTTCTTTCTTGTTTGTAATGGAGTAGTGGAGTCTTTATTACCTTTTTCTTAGGGAAATAATGACCATTCTTATTTAATAAATGGGGTATTTAGAATAAGGGCGGGTGTGGTGCAGTGGTCGGAAACGCGCTGCAACACGTGGAATCAATCCTAGCGCCATTGGCCCACCAAGCCTTCCATCCCCCGAGGTAGGCAAATTGGTACCAAACTTCTGGGAGGATAGTTAGTAGCACTGGCTCGATACATCGATAGGCCACCGCGAGTCACTTGTATAAGCCAGATATGCATTCAATCACCTCCAAACCATGCCTGACGAAGTGGAATGCATCGCGCCTACCTCAGGGATTGATCAAGGCCGAGAGCTTTATCCCTTTTATCCCTTAATCATCCTTTTCGATGGTGGTTTTGACGGTATTTTGCGAGTTTTAGGGACTTTAACTTTGAACAGTAGAAAATGGAAATACAACAACAACAATGCTGAGATGTTCGCAAAACTTGGACTCCGCGCCAGATCGAGCCAAAAGATCTTGTATCTCACATCATGTTGTGCCGTGACAAGTTGTAGGCAGCAATGAAAGGGTTAAAATGGTAGAAAATGGTATCCAAGAGATCTTCAGGAAAGCCAAGAGTGATGCCTTTGCACCGTTATTGAATTACCTGCCTTAAAATTTCGTTTCCCACTCTATGAATCTACCATTCATGAAGGTGGAAAACTTTCTGTACGAAGGTGATGACGTTATAAAACTTATAGATTTTTCTGTTCTTTATTGTTGGTCGCTAACGCTCTGTATTTCTAGGGAGCTGCTCGGATTTGTTTCCAGCCCTATGAATTTCAACAAATAGAACACATAATTCTTGACAGATTGAAAGAGGCTGTAAACACTGTTGAAGTAGAAGCGATCCAGTTTGCGGCAAGAAAGGTAGATATTTCTATTCTATTAGATCATTAGGCTACTAATTTTAGAGGTTGCCATATGTGCCATTTTTTTTCCTAGTTAGGCTTGAAAATATCTCTTATCAGGTTGCTGCTGTGACAGGTGATCTACGTAAAGCTATGGACATTTTACGACATGCAATTGAAATTGCCATCGAAAAGGGTTCGAAGAGGCTTCTTGTTGAACATGTAAGTTCATTGTTGCTCTGCGTACCAGACCTACATAGTTAATATCATTCCTGCAAGTTGTTAATTGAATATTCGAAGTGGAACGAAGAATCATGAGAACTTGGGAGATAGCCATGTTGGTGATTTCTCAAATCGTTACCATAAGCGGTGGTCTGTTCCTGTGAATTTGTGGGAGGTATACCATCTTGCGGCTATGTCGTTACCAGAATGGCGATATTATCATTCGTTTAATATTTAGTGGGCTTCTAGAGGAATGTTATATTCTTAATAGCTATAAGAAACCCATCTTGGACGGACCCCTACTGTATGTCGCGCCTCTACACCAAAGATGGGGAGCTAAACCACTGGGACCCTCTAAGTTGTTAGATTCTGAGGATTGAATGTCGAGGTGTTGAAAGTAATATTGTTGATTATATAAAGTTGTCTAGGTTCTCTGCGCAACTCGTGAAGCATCTTCTACATTGCTAGTACATTTTGTTAAAGGATTGTCAAAGCACGCTTTATTACTTTTTCGCTCTGCAGTTTCTTTGGTAAGGTTCTTGAACTTCTTACATACATTATGGTGGGCATTTTTGGACAATAGCTGTTTTGATATCCAAATCCTAAAATTAGTTATATTCAGGCAGAAAAAACTGAAGACTTCACATTCGCCGAGTTACACGCACAGTATATATCCTTTGCAGCATTGATTGAAGGAATTGAGCCACTAGTGGAGTCCACGTTGCTTTCATTGATTGGACAACTATGCTCGTGAGTTTGCAATAGATCACCATTTACCTAATCTCAGTAGAAACTAGGAGAAGTGGGGTTTGTCTCTATTGCTCAGCTGCTGGACTTCGGGTAACAAACCAGAAGGTAAACCTTATCTGATGTGCTATCAATATGAAGAGATTTTTTAGAACACGCCTACTAGTTTCATCCAAGGGGAGTCATATTCTTCGTCGACGTATTCGTCTCGGTATGCCCTATCAAGACGCTCAGTCGGCGATTAGAATTCGTGAGAACGCTGATAAGAAAATGTGCTAATTCACCTTTGTACCCTAGAATTTATTGTTTTGGATGATCGTAATTAGTAAGATTTCCGGTTTCCACTTAACATCCTCATCCAAATCTTTCCTGATTATATAATATTATGCCTATTTTCGTATACTGCATACTTATAATCGATAAGTTGACAATCATCTAACACATTCGCGACCATATGCATTGATTCAGATCCATTTGTGGCGGGAAATAATTTAGTATTTCAAATTTGGACCAGTATACCTCAGTTCATAGTGAAGTGTATTAACTGAAATGAGATTCCTTTTTTCACTTTGGTTTTTTTCAAGGTCACCTGTCTACCTATTTTTTTTGCGGTAACATTATTTTATATTTCAATTTGGAAAAAAATGGCTGAAAAATTGGAGTAAAAGTGATATTATGTAAATAGTTACATGTTCCCTTGGAGCATTATGGGAAGGTATCCCCATAAGTTTATTGATTCCCCGAGTTTCCAAACCCTCAAATACCTAGATTATTAGAAAGTTATCGGCAATTGTAGAAAAACCGCCATGGTCGCGAATGGATTAAACAACTGTTTTATAATCTGATTTCCTAGTTTTGTTATTCTAATGGACACCTAGCCAACCTTCTACGTTTCAGATTTCGTATAGCCGCTCTTTTACTGAGAAGTCTATTTTTGCCTCCTATTGTCTTTTTGGCTTAAAATAACCATTTTTTTCCGAGAAGCCTACTGTTACCTCTTTCGGTTTTCTGCTCTGAATGGCCTTTAGCGCACTTTCCTTGTAAGTTTCAGTTTTGCCGTTTTTGTTTACGTTATGGATATGGTTGTTTTTCAGTTTTATTATTTTTTGTGGTCACGGAATTTATTCGTATCTTATTGCATCCTCTGAACTATTCTGATCTTTACTCTATCATTGCTGAAGAAATAAATGTTATTATTTCCTTTTGTGAGGAGGATCCCAAACCAGTTTGTCGCCGAAGTAGCTTGGCGGGTCTCCAGGTCGTTGATAGGGAGTACGCAATCAGGAGTATCAAAACGACCGTGTAACTGGATTGAAAAACCTGCAGGCTGTGATGGTGGGCTACCTGTATCCGTTTCAGCGCACCTTATCTTCTTATTGCATTTATTACATGTTATATTTACCTCTCTATTTGTTTATTTATATAATTTGTATATGTTCGTAGACATAACCAAATATAGTCCTATGTAGTTCTCACGAGTTTATACATGGCATTGTGCATATAAATTCGGCAAGAAACCCAACGGACATTTCCTTTAAGGAGTAAATCCTATCATATCTTTTCAGAGGTTGATGGATTACAGCGTACGCAATCACTGCTGCAGATTTCGGCAAACCAGCCATAGATAACCCGTTGACGAAAGCGATGTAGCTATATGTTCATACGAAAAGGTGAAGTGCATAGTGTTTTGCAAACACTTGATTCATTCCACCTCGAGTGCCTGACGAAGTACGCAAGGAAACAAGGCTAGCGCATGCTCGACCACGCGATTCTACAGTTGACAGCATAGGACCATCATTGGTTGTAGTAGGGGCTGTATTGCAACTATGTTAACAGTTACGGTAGGAATTCTCTGTCAGTGAGTATTTTTCATTCTCTTCACAATCGTGTGGTTTTATTGTCAGCTGCAGTGTGGTGATGAACTGGTTTAACAAAAATGTCTCTCTATGGGACTCATTTTACTGTTATGTTGGATTTGACGGGAGAGCAGTACTCTCATGGTGCAGATACGGAAGCAGTCAACTTGGGTTCATATGTAGGACGGATCTATCGATGAGAATGGACCGAATGACATTCGATAATGTAAGCATCCTATGTAACGACCACCAACAAAATGTACAAAACCAACTATATTATTAGTGGCAAAAGATCAATATATTATTATTATTATTATTGTTGTATTAGCCTTTATTTGCTGCCTACTACTGTTTTTCACGGTAGGGTATGATATAAGATGCAACAACTGTAGCGCTGCGACATTTGCAAAACGTGAACTCCAGGACAAATCGAACCTCGATTACGCTTTCCGGGGGCGCAAGTGTTATCCACCGCACCACTGAAGCCCTTGCCTTTCTGTCAGCCAGTTTCCTACCTAATTATCGTAATTTCTGGTATAAATTAACTGTCTTTATCTACAATATAGTAACAGTAGTTCTGTTATGAATGGTAATATTATTATAGTCATCATTAATTGACACTTGATACTTAATTGGACCGTTCTCATTGGTTGTGCGAGCCCCAGGACAATCTCCGTTTTTCGGATAAACCCCCACCGCTGTCCATTGTAGCCCGACACCCAGGAACACCTCCCAACCACGATGAGGCGGTAAACTGTTGGAGGCACGGTACACCATTAATTACTACTCATTATTTAGAAAGCATAGGGGATAAAGCTCTCGGCGTTGATCAATTCCTGAGGGATACGTCATGCATTCGACTTCACTAAGCATCGTTGGAGGTGATTGAATACACATCTGGCCTTTACAATGACTCGCAGTGGCCTACCGAGGTATTGAGCCAGTGGTGCTATCCTCCCAGACAAATCTGGTACCAGTTTGCGGACGCCGGACGGATGGAAGGCTTGGTGAGCCACAGGCACCGAGATCGATCCCATGTTTGCATCGCAGGGCGCCTCTTGCCACTGCGCCACACGCGCCCTACCGTCACTGTTCCCATTATTATTATTATTAGTATTATTACTACCATTAGCATTAGTGTTATTACCCTTATTATTTTAACAATTACCATCCACAATATAACATTTTTGTAATAGCCATCACTGATTACTATTCGTTACTATTATTGTTACTAGTTGAATAAATGAAGAGATTATTGCTATTCTTATTCATCTCATTGCAATGTATATGACCCATCGTCACATCTGGTTTGGGGGTCCAAATATTAGTAATATATCTGCGGTAGAAACGACCTTCATATCTGTTCAATCCATAAGTTAATACGTTGAGGAAATCTACACTCAATGACTTAGCAGTGTGGCAAGGGAATTGCGTAAGTAGGTCTGACAGTCATCAGTGACTACTTGTAGTTGTAGTGAATCAAGTGAGTCACAAGCTCATGCTGAACTGTAGTCATTGAAGGCAGGATATGATTTGCAAGAAAACGAATATTACTTCTTGCAACTTTCCCATGTTTGTAATATGGTGATAAAAGGATAAGAAGTTGATAACTTCTAGACGTTGTAAATCATAATTTTGAAACCGACCGTCATTTAACCTCGGTGCTACAATAATAAACATGTTTATATTACTGAGCTTACACGAGGTTGATAGAGAGGCTTATTCGGCTAACGTTTCGACCTCTTCGTCTTCTTCAGAGCCGACGATTCATGTCGATTCTTGAGGAACGAGTGTGGACCACCGACAAGGATCGTCGGCTCCGATGAAGACGAAGACGTCGAAACGTTAGCCGAATAAAAGTCTCCATCAACCTCGTGTAAGCCCAACAATGTAAACATATGTTGTAGATCGCATTAAGTTTGGATTTTTTGAACATGACATAACATTTCGCTGCACTCTTTAACATTAACGAAAGCACAACGACGTAAACTGAGATTTCGAAACATGTAGAGAAATACTTCCGAGATGTTCGAAGATTCAACAAGCACCGTACAAATAGTGAGCAATTCAGTTCCAATACATGAAAATGAATATAGATATCAAAACTGAGAAGGAAGTACTCTGATAGTGACAGATGACCTAGGCTGCATTTGCCACCAATCAGGTTTGTAAGACGCAAACCTCCGATGAAATTACTGTGATCACGCGTACCTTTTCTTCCAGAAATTACCCGTAGATATCCAGAAAACTTATATGTTCACGGAGGAATTCCCTTGACGATACTACCTGTACCATAAGAATGTCTAGGTATCGGTTACAACGAGATCAGTCCGGATGCATGTCGTCGAATGTGGTCAAATTGAAATCGCCGAAATGTCGGCGAATATCTCGCGATAACACTTTCATCTCATCGATTGCCAGACCTTCATTGTCGGATTGCATCTCATATTCATTCTCGTATCCGATTGAGTGTGCTGAATTCCACCTGCAAAGTACTAAGGTAATATTCTGAGTGCCGTAGTAAACATTTCAGCCCTCGCTTTATGTAGTGTGGGAACCTCAGGAAATGTGATGTTTCAGTTTACAACACGGTAGGTAGAAGTGGCTGATATGGTTCGCAGAAACATCAGTTGGTTTTAGAGCGAACTTTTGTCACTATTTCAATGGATTGGATGTTTACAAAACACAATTGTAAATAGTCAACTAAAGCTATGCAGAAATACTGGCGTCAGATCGTCATTTGTGCTACTCGAACATATGGTAACCAGCTTTCATAACAAATATTTTTGGCGACTTAAGGTCATCGGAAAGGTTCCTTCAACAACTCTGGTAGGCGGTAAATAGTGAAATGGTACTGATGGCAAGAAAGAAGTACCTTAGTGGATCCAATTCTATACTGCTAGACAAACTACTACACTCCGTTTCCACATTGACGTCTTCGCTTCTGCGTGATCGATGGCGTCTTCTTCGACTTTTATCCTTAGATCTACAAGTAGATTCTGTTGTTCTGGAAGCGATGTACTTATTAACAAATATTTCATACCTCGACATTCGTCCATTCGCATTCATTTCAACGTCAGATAGTGCGGCTTCGGACTCTGCATTATCATATTCAGTATGACAAGCGGACGACAAGGCACGATGTACAGATTTCAGTGAACCAAAAGCTGTAGGGAATGGACGGTATCTAAAGGACAATGACATGAATGTCCCAGATAGCTCAGATATTTACGGAGATGTATTAGACTAATATGGAATAAATAGAGAAGAAATGATATTATTAATGATTAACAGCTAGTCTACCGTTATAAGGTCCTCCAACGACCATCTGACTACTCATAGATATCGCTGTTGTTATAGAAGCATCATATTCGTTAGACGATAAACTCCTCCAATCCCAAAGGACAGGAGGCTGCCTGAGCAGAATCTTGCATTGCTATTCTTTCTCAGAATTCCAGGTAAAACCTAGCTTGACTAGCAATCAACGTGTCAGTAAAGAGGGAAGACGATAGATTCTTAAGTCGCAGACGAACTTATCGCACGATCCTGACTACCTTTGTGGATGACAGCTGTAGCAAAACGAATAGAATGGAAGAGTGGTAGGCTCTGAATGATATATGAGCGCGAGCCATCTAAGTAACTGCCAGAAGGACAAAATATTATAAACGTTTGCAAGCATGGGGAAAGATCAGACGCTCTGCATCACTATATCGCCGATTGTCTTAATCCTCACATCGCTGGGAAAAAATGAAAAAGAAAATTCAAAGCAATGAAAGCAAATAAATTACATCACTGGAAGGTTCAAACGTGTGTTTTAGAGGTGTTTTTCTTTCCAAACGATCATATCAAAAATCACAAAAGTCGGTTTTTGAAAAACAAAAACGAAAGTTGAAAATGATTCGAAATAGTATGAAAACTATTGGGTAGGAGGATGTCCAGATCAATTATGTAAGGCATAGAAAGAGAAAAATGCTTACTCTAACGGTTTGATATCGGTGAATTCTCCGTAAGCATTAAGCTCCTGGAGCATACGATCAACGCGATGAGCTGCAGCCTCCAGCCTTTCGGCCGGATCGGCGAGTGAATCGTCGTAGTCAGTCGAATTCCCCTACAAACGCTGATCATAAACTTGCTAAAACTCCTTTCTCATAGTTCAGTAAATTGGCCTAAAAGATTTTCCAGCGTTTATTAGAAATTCTGGCTATTTAGCCCTAAGATTTTGCATAAGGATAAGTTTCTTGTAAAATTAAATGTATATAAACCAGTGAGCTATCGATAGAAAAGGCAGTGCTTTCCGTGTTTAAAAAAAGCGTAGCTTGGTATCTCGTGCACTAGCGAACAATTTAAAAACATTTCGGTCACAGGCATGCTCATTGCAGTCTACTTTCTACTTTGAACCTATAAGTTTTTATTTCAACTTTACTTTTAACTTTAATCACTGATTAATTTCCTAGAGCATGAAAACATTAAAGTTTACTGTAATACGATTTTGCTCCCGAAAAAAGTGAACTATCGTAAAACTATAAACAAATACAAGTAACTAGTTTCGTAGTTACCCGCTTCAACCACGAGAACGGATGCCGCAATGAGGACTTCGAGGACCTCGAACTTCCTCGCCAACGTCGCTTTGCTGAAGTAAAATCCCACATTTGTGGAAAGCTGTCACAAAAGATAAGGCTCAAAATACCAAATGATTCACTCAGAGTATGATTTAAAAAGCCAAAGTGTTTATTCTTGTCTAGTACCTCGTTTCTGACTGTCGCGACTTGGAGCTGGGCTCTCATGCTCGGACCAATCCGAGTACTGACTGATGTGATCTCTTTTATAATCACCAGAGTAACTTTGCCCTAAGAATTCTTCCACTCGATACGGTTCCCTAAAATAAAAAAGTAGGAGTAGTTACTTCAGCTAAGAATTTTTGAATTTGAGTGTCCTAGATAGTGTAATGAAGTACCATTTTCGTCTATATGTGGAGCTACTCGATGCTCTGTCATAATCTCAGCCGGTCATTTAATACTACAAAGAATAAAGCGATCGGCGTTACTCAAGAATGATGCGTCATGCATTAAACTTTCTTAAGCTTCGTAGATGTGATTGAATGCATAGTTAACATATTTACAGATTAAGTTTTGGAACTACCGATGTACTAGGTCATCGTTTTTTCGTTTTCATTAGACAAATCTGGTACCATTTTTCAAATCACGGCAGAATTGGAGGTGCTTGTTTGTCCGAGGCAGAGGAACGAACCAACGACGATGTGGCTACTACAGGATACCTCTGACGGCTGGCCTACGCGGATCCTTATTAGTAATATATCTGCGGTAGAAACGACCTTCATATCTGTTCAACCCATAAGTAAATACGCTGACGAAATCCACACTCAATAACTTCGCAGCGTGACAAGGGAATTGCGTAAGCGGTGACGTGACAGCTGTCCGAAGTTGACGAACGTTATGTACGCTTCCATTCACTTTCTATGACCGAAATAAATAACTCTTCTTAAATGGATAGCTTGAAAGTCAACAGAATATCCTAATTACATAAAGAAATTACGTTTTCCCGATAACGGAATTCTGGTTGGTATTCAGGTCTCTATAACAACTTCTTAACATTCTATTTAAACGAGTATAAGCGGAAACGGGTACGCAGTGACTGGAAAAGGGTTTGGAATAGGAGTGGCAAAAAATGTAAGCTACCACACCTAATCCTCCTCCCTCAGAAACCCAAGAAGACTTTCGAAACACTGTATTTTGTTCTTTAAAAAGTTGATTCGTCCACCGTTAACTTCTGAAAGCGCGTCTAAATCACAGAAAATTAATAGCTAACGAAAAATTTTGACGACTTCTTCTAAAGCTATATGCACCACAGTATACTGAGTTAGGTAGAAATTGTTATTGGAAAACCACTACACCACAGAATCGAAAATAACTGAGTTTTCGTAGAACTGTAATGACAAGAATTACACTGTTAGAATGAGCCGTGCAAAAATACAGTACTACCAGTAAAAGTAGATGGATTAATCTTGCTCTTCACTTTACTGTAACAGGAAAACAGCATTAATATTGTTAATGCGACATCATCGTAAAAATAGTGGTGGAAGAAATTTTACAAGTATTAAGCTTTGCAATCTGAATACCACCGAGGTCACAGTCGTTTTTAGTCGAAATAAGGGGTTCTAAAAGCAAGTCAAGCTTAAGCAGCTCTTAGATTAGCTCCCATTTATACGCTCAACTAAGTATATTTTAAGAAGTTTGTTAAAAGTATAAATTAGTTCCAGGGACGGATAGCACAGTGGTAGTGATGTCCACAATCACGAGCAGTTCGATCGCGCTCTGGGTCAAACCAAGCCTCTCATCCCTCCAGAGTCGGGAAATTGGTACCGAACTTTTCTGGGAAAAAATCACTCACTGCAATCCAATTGGGAGCACTCCAGCCCGGCTCTCTCAGGACACCAGGGAGAATAGACCAGCATTCTACGACATTCAAGATGAAATGAAACTCAGGCAGCAACCGAAGCCACATGTAAAGTTGGAAGATCTTCGTGGACAATGGATGCAAGGAAACGAATCGGATGTGAGAAGTGCTGGGATCCGCACAGTAGACGTGAAGACGGGTCGTATAAAATAAACTAGAAGAAAATAAATTAGTACCTATACGGATTGTAATCTGTTGATCGGTAGTTATTGCGGAATGGAATAACCGGTTCATGAGAGTTATAGGACGACGTGGATTGGTTCATTAATGCCGTCTCCGGTGTGATCCACTCTGAACAAACAGAATCCGCAAGATTCCTAAGATATTTCAACACAAATTTGCAATTCAATTTAATTATATGAAAAATTGGTCCATATGGAATGGATCAAAAAATCCGTATGATAATGTGAAAAAATCGCCTACAAAAAGAACTGTGCTCTAAGCCTCTTATTTAACCCAAGTTATAAACAATATTATCGAACCCTTTAGGCGTGGAGAAAAACGCAGAATGATGAAATCTACATAGAACTGAAAATATTTGAGTTGCTAAGTATTTAAAGTCGAAAAATCGCAAGTAAAACGACTAAGGCTTAATGCTCATTTCTTAGTTCAGAACTTAGTGTTTAGTTACATTTATGTGACCTGCAGGCAATTGGTAAATTTCATTTGATGAAATAGAAAAACTAAACAAATACGTAGTAGTGGAGTCAAATTTAACCTATATCACTGTCCGTCTCACCACCGCCACCGATTGACTGCAACTCAGATGAAAACGATGACGCCATTGATGATGTGATTTGTGACTGAAACGACTAACGTCTTCATGAAAACATCGCACTCAGCAACTTATATGGATTCCAGTGAAGGCAATATTATCCATGTTGCTTTTCTACTGATTACATTTCCGCAATACTTATAAGTTAGTTTTAGTTTAGAACACTCACATCAACATTTTGAGCGGGCTCAAACAAGTCTTGTGCGTGACGTTCTTGTTCTACACGTGTCAGCACTTCTGCAGAGAGCTCTTCCATACTGTACAGGATGTAAGCATTCAAATTCGGAATCACCTGAATTATTACCAATCGACAGAACCGGACAGAAGACGAGAAATCGAACATGAATGAAACACAACCATTATCGTAACATAGGTGCGTGTGTATAACGTCCAGCTTCTTATTTAGTGTTACTTTTTCACTGCAGAGTATTATATGAAATACTACTATAATGATTGTGAGATATATGCAAAACTCAGATCCGCACCAAATTCGAACCCGTGACTACCCTTGACTCGCGTGTTACCCCGCTCCACCACTAAGACCCTCGTTTTCTTTTTCTCTTAGCCATTGTGGTTGTGCAGGTGTACATATTTGGTAGCTCCTTCAGCAGTGCAATCAAACTTCACAGTTACGCCGTATATTTCAATTACAGAAGTGAGAAATAGCGATGGTAATGTTTGTCCAGTTTCGTTTACTACTTAGTACTTTCTACTTTATAGGTGGAATCTCGTAAATCTGGTCTCTAATCTGCACAACTGATAGGAGTAGGATGGAAGGAGAACCACCTCACCTCAGTACTTGTGTATCAGGGTTACCAGTCAACCCCTTGTCGATTTCTTAAATTCCCACAGAAAGGTTTTTGCGCTCTAGAAACCACCGTACTCGGGAAACCCGCATTATTTCTAGAATCCCCCACATTATTTCCAAAATATTTTTACAAGAATCGCCTTCGACGAATGTCCCACCACTTTTCAATCACGATTTTTGAATAAGTAAAGCAAGTCCTCCATAGACGTGACAATCGCAAAATGTGGAATTCATCTTTTTTTGCATCTTTTCCAAGAATATGAGAATGTCTCACCTTAATTGATTTTGTGCTAAAATGCAGATTTCGCGGTCTAAGTGCTAAGAAGATTTCCTCGGAGACAAGAGTACGACCATGACTGGCGCTCTGCATAAGAATTCGTGCTCGTTCAACAGTTTCTCCCCAAAGCTCATAGCGAGGTTGGTCGGTGTCCGTAACCAAAGACAACGCACTTCCACAATCCATTCCTGAACAATTACTGGCTCCGATTTACTTCAAATCACTCAAAAGCCTCGATGCAATAAGTACAGATATTCATCGAAAGGGTAAACACAAAAAAAGAAAACAAACCTCTGCAAACTTAAAAGCTTTCGTTCCCATTATCTTTAGGTATACGAGGAATGCTTCACTTCAAAACTAAGGAACTGAATATTTGAGTTAATGAAGCAGAACAGGAGTATGCTCTTTATTGGATTGATGGAATGAAACTTTTACATGCAACAAAATGAATTTGGGAATCAGTAGTGAAAAGATACAAATATACCCACCAATCTGCACCTGGAACTCTTTTTCTGTGGCGAACTGAGTGGCCTGAAGTAGAAACTGCGCCAAAGTGTGCAACAGTTCACCTATTGTCCATGGAGTTTCGTTGACCTGGAAGAAACCTGCGCTGGAAACAAAAATTGAGGATAACAATTAAGACATTTGTCAGAAGTCTGGCAGCATGGAATCGTGGGCGTTATTTGCAATTTCAACAAGCAGCGAATGCAGGGTATATTTTTAATTTGTACTAGCGACAAACAACCAATAAATAATATTTAGTAAATAAAGAATGATGTTTTATGACATGGAAAGACGTTGTGACCGGCTTTGCAGGACGTAGAAGGTGCCGACACATGTATCACAAAGAACTTTGGCTTTTGAATAACAGTCTCATAATTTATGAAGGTCAGCGTGTTACTGCTACTGTATTTAAGATCCTCAAAAATTGTACTCTTTTATTTATTTTATACGACCCGTATTTCACATTTACTGTATTTCACATTTATTTACGGATTCCATCACTCCTAAATTCGATTCGTTTCCACGCATCCGTCATCCACAAAAGTTTTCGAACTTTTGTCATGTAGGTTCAGTTGCTGATTGAGGGTTTTCCTTTCGTCATAAACGTCTTAAATTGCTGGTCGGGTCGACTTTCTCTGAAGTCTTGAGATGGCCGGGCTAGAGCTTTCCCGCTTGGATTTCAGTGGGCGACAGTTCACCAATAAGTTGGGCACCAATTTTTCAACTTCGAACGGACGAGCTTGATGAGCTTGGGGTTGGGTGGGACCAGAATCGCGCTCGTGATGGGCAACATTACTACCACTGCGCTATCTGCTTCCTACAGCTTCATCTAACTATTTGCTTAATTAGCATATCGTAGAGCAAGTCAAATGGCAAAATAATCACTATTACATAGAATGTGAAAGAATAAGGCAGCAGCTACTTCTGATTTAGCAGACCAGCATAGCATAACAGTGAAGAAGGATAGAAAACACTGAATGAATGAATTCTACACATCGCAAAATTTTTAGTAAATGCCACGCTTCCAACCTAGGATAATCTGAAAGTTCAATCTTTTCTCTTATTATCCACGTATAACCTCGGAACGCAGATCCATAGATTTTCGTTGCGTGGATCTTAAAAATTTTAACGGTCCACTTTAAAAATGCAATAAATTACAGATCTGCTAGAAAACTACGTTTTTGGTTTATCGGAAGAATAAAGCGAAAACCAGAATAGAAGTCACATACGTTCTGAGCAGCGTCTGGAAGTAATCCGACTGCAACTATGTAGAATCGATTCGCGCTCTTAATCTTCTCGATTCCACGAAAATTAGTGAGTTGCTAAACATTTCAGAGTTTCGTTAACGAAACTCAACAGAATCTTCGGAATTTTCTAGAATTCAGGAAGAAGTATAACTGAGACCTGGTCGAAAGATGTGAACACATAATTCAACCCGTTGAGCCCTTGTTCGTCTGACAATGAGAAACCAGAGATTGTCAAGTAGGCCACACCAACTAAAAATGAAGCTCAGTTGATTGTGACCCAAAAATATAGCGTTGGACAATAGAACACTATTCTAATACCTTTGCTAACAATGCTACCTGAGTCATGTGGTATAATAGAATTCGAAAGCGAATGGTATAATTTAACTGCTTAGAGTACTGGATAGCGAGTGTCGTCACCCACCTGAGTGATGCGCATGATGCCACTGCTCGCCGGTTTTTGCAGCCACCCATGGAGCCACATGTGGGGGTACTAGATTCAACAGCACTTGGCTGTTTAATAGTACGAATCGATCTTTGGAAGCGGACTCTTCGACCCCCTGGAATTCAGATGGTGATCTTCAACAGGAACAACGACGAATTCAGCTGTGGTACCATTATGACAGTCTGTGTAATCCAATCCACTCGTTGCGCAAACAGCAAGGATCAATAGTGGAATAATCTACTAGGGATTAAATGAAGGTTAAATTATTAGAAGAACAGAAAATTACACTGAGTAACTGGAAAGGAAAAAAGTCATTAAAGGAACAAAAGATGGCAAGGACGTAAATGTGGTTAGGGATAGAGAAAACTCGTCTACTGAATTCAGATGAATTGGTATCGTGTCCTCTTAATGGAGTTTTAGGAATAACCGATCTTGAAATCGTTTCTAAAATTTTGTCGCAAATCCCTTTTCACTAAACCTTCTCAACTTAACAGCATCAATAAGATGACAAGGAGCAACAAATGCCACCCATCGGGGATCTCTGTGAATGAATCGGGACAGCAAAGAAATCTCCAGGGAACCATCTAGACAATAGAACTTCTCATAAATCACCAATAAGGAGTCAAGCATTTCTCACCATTTCCCATAATTATATAGATTTATCGATCACATAGATGCGAGCGCTGAATTCATTTGCCTATTTCGAAAATAATTTATGGTTTTCATGTAGTACATTCCAGTCTGAATAATCCTCACTATTTTTTCCCTTTCCTTTGTGACTACTAGTAACAACTATGCATAAGACCAAGATGGCTCCATGTTTCAAAGAAAGACAAACTAACTTCCTTACATTAAACTTAGGTGACACTCAACTCCTCCGGCGTCTAGCTATTTGACTTATTTGACGGCATCAACGGTATCGTCGAAGTGTAGTCAATTTATGAGCTATTGCTCCTCAGAAACACGTGGTGATTTTTGCTACCTCTTAACTGACAGTGTTAAACTGGCGGCTTAACGGACCGACGAAAGTATGAATCGAGTTGTAATGTCGGCATCGACATAGCGACCGACGGTGGTTAGATAAAACAGTGTGTGGTGAATTTCACTTCAACCGAACACTCCGCTAAGGGAAACCCGCAAGACATGATCGGATGAGAGAACAAGACGAAGACATCTAAGCGGAAACAGTCACGTAAGTGTATTTCACTTTAAGAAGTAGTATTACACTACCAGTCTTGTTGTCGACGCTAGAACGGGATTCTGTGAGAAATATTTACGTTAGAATCTCATGGCAATAAATAGGTGTAACAACGAGAAAAACCGAAGTTAGGACAGAAAACAATGTTTGTTTTTTACAACGCTTCGCCTGTTCAATGATGAACCAAATAGCGACTTTATGGTTACAAAGGCTCAAGGTCTATTTCAAACCTCTGTCAAATACTTAAGTGAAATTTTTCTAGAATACTGTTGTGTCACTTCTTGTAGGTAGTAAGAGAGCACATTTCCCTCTTCGAACCCACGATTACTCTTTTCAACCCATTTAAGACTATATTGTTTTCTAATTCTTAGGCTTTATTTTTTAGGCTGATTAATTTATTTGGTATCAGGAAGCCCCATCATCATGGTTGGACTTCTTACACTGCAAGAGCGTGCACAGTAGGAAAAATAAGAAACAACGAAAAAACAATGTCCTTTAAACTGGAAACGATCGGTTCAAAGCTATTGTGAATGAAAACAACAAAACACAACAGTTTGACTTAGAGCAGGAATCTCAGAAATGAAAAAAAGCCAAAAAGTTAGAATAAGTCAAAACATGAAGAAACAAAACTAAACATCACCTTAACCACGGATAAAAAATCAAGTCGCATGATTTTTTCACATCTTCTCGAATGGAGAAAAACTAGAGCTGCCAATGAAGATAATCCTACCCATAGATCGAATTCGATGGTGAATCTGCAACACTGGCCGCTATTAGGATATGCAATATAAAAGGTGATTGAAAGTAACTCCCTATTTTAAAATCCCTATAATTCAACTAAATGTTGTAATGTTTTTCGCAATTTCTTCTGTATGCCTCCATATATGGGGAATAAATCTGTGTTAAATTCAACCACAAGGACGCTGAGACATGAGCAACACCCGGAACCACAGGTGGGCTTCGAATCCGTGATTAATTTTTTCGAAACATTTAAATTTACGTTGTTTTTTATATTCAGAGCGATTAATTTGCTTGAGAACTGGAAGCCCCATGAGCAAGGTTGGACGTCTTACACTGAGAGAGCGTACACAGCTAGTGCCATGTTACGAAGTTTGAAGATCTGTTGCTCAAGTGCAGAGAAGGTGAAAGGCCATTCAAGGAAGATATGCACGAGTAGACGTAAAGACGATCAGGAATTGTCGTGCGAAACTCATGATTGCAGGATTTTTTTCACTGATTCTCGACGAAGCGGTTGCTCTTCCAACTTCAGTGACGCGAAGATGGCGCAAGTTGTTCATGAAGTGTTTACTCATAGCTCAAAAATTCAATTCGACAAGCAGCAAATGAAAATGGATTTCTTTTCAATGTGTATAAACTGTGCTCAAAAAGTAGCTTGAATGGTTAGTCTGCAAGGTGCACTATTATCGAGCACTTCCTGCTGGAGAATGGAACATTCGCATGGAGATCGGAAAGGTGATGCTGGATTGGTATGGAGATTAGTCGGATCTCTTCAAAAACATCCTCCAGAATGATAAGCCTTATTCTATACAGGCAGCTTTCGAGAATTTTAAATGAAAAGCATGAAAAGCTATGTCTTTCATCACACAAGAGATCTTGGTGAAATCAGTCGATAGGCTTCCCGGCCGGTTGAGAAGCTGGTGGCCAGTGCTGATACTCATATCAAATTCCAACTAAAATTGTGCCATACGTTTCATTCTCACACTTATTCCTTGCTAAAAAAAGAAGTAAACTGTAAGAATTTTAGGTTAAGGAGTAACCCTTCAATCATCCTGTAGAATACATGTCGCTGTACGATATCTTAACTGCTTAACATATCAACCTCATCTTTCATCGTATCAATGCCTATGTAAATTCTTGTAATTTACTTATGCCTTCTTTTCCTAAACATGTAGATTCCTCTACTCTTAGTTCACCCAATGTCCAGATGAAATCGCTCAAATGTTCACAGAACTCCTTCAATACAAAACACTCAGTAATCGATAAGTGATCAACTTATATATTATTAGATTATTCAGTACAGGTTTGCACAATCAGAGCAGTTACTAGTTTGGGAGAGTTAACAAGGATGCACATCATCAACTCGTATCGATCAATCTAACAACAATTTGTCAAGTTTAACTTTCATTGTTGGTGTGGTGGATAGCAAGTGAGCACCGGAAAGGATAATCGTGGGTTGGCTAAGAATTTATCACTTGCTGACGAAAAATAGTACTTCTTGCCTATCCCTACGTGGGTTGTTCATAGCGTACATTGTGGACGACATTCGTGGCGCTGTAAAAAGTCCGCCTTATGGTCGTGATAAATTACGAGCAAAGGCGAAATGTTCGTAGAGAAACTGGCGAATCTGTTAGTGACATAATAGCGGCAACGAGGCCGTTCGACGATAGAAACTCGCTCTTGGTGGAATCATCATCACCACCACCATTGCGACGGAATTATCGTTAACTATTGGAAACGAAAACTGAACAAGAAAAAGATATCTAATTCATCTAACGATCGCTGCGACATTGGAAGTATCAACCCCCGGGTATATTATTGAATAGAACTTATAGGATACATGTATCGCCAATCTGTATTCCTCCAAATATTGACAACTTATCGGTGAGGTGATCAATCTCTAAAGTTACTTAACACATTCGCGTGATAAAGCTGGTTTCTCGAGAACAGGTGATAATTTCACGATCCCTAGAACATTACAGGAGAACAGAATTGTATATTTATGGCAGAGATTCTACCCTATCGAACTAATCATATTACGAGCTGTAATTCTCATACAGAGGCAGACTTTGGCCAGACTGACCTCGGGATTCCAGGGAACCACAATGGCTTACCAGAAAATCCCCGAAAAATGGAGATTATGCTGGGGCCCGCACAATCAGTGAGGAAGGGCCATTGAAGTGACAAGTGTCAATTCTCATACAGCGTCCTTTTAAAAACATAAACAAACAAACAAACTAACTTAGGCAAGTTTAGAATTAAACGTTTCAGAGATTTGATTAAAAAATTTGAACTGTCAGAATTTTCAACGGAAGAGAGGTGTTTGTAAACACAATTGATGCATAAGCTAATATCACTGTGTTCTCTTTGACGAAATACCGCTTAACCATTTCGCGTTCGAAATCTGAGTTTTGAAGTAATAAAGTGGAAAAAGTATGCGCCATGAGCTCCAGAAAGTCAGAATTCAATACAAGAGAACTTTTATCCCGTAGGAGAACAATTCTAAAGGCTCTCGGAATGCCTATTCCAATTAATGAAATGCACTTTGAGCTTAGACATGCTGGTTTAAAGTTGCAAGTTGTCACTACTCCTGCATTGTACGACTCCTATACAGGTCACATCGTAGGAATGTGTTAAGCAAATATGTGATGGTAAGATGAACAATTTGTTATCTTATATGTATCTTTTACAGAATCCGATGAAAAGTCAACTGGAGTGTTCCTTACGGTTATAGCATAAGAAGTGGACCCTTGCCAAAATCTCGGGATATTTTCAACGAAATTAGAGCTATTACAAGCGACTATGTAGAAAGACACGATCATTTGGAAAATTTAGGTTTTCTTTTTAATCTACAGCCCCTAATGGTTTTTGTTCATTGTAAACAGCATGTACGTACGTAACTTAGCGCGACAACTGTTGGCAATCTTTTCTTCTTTACTCCTTTCGAATCAGTTTTACATATCTTTTACAGCGTAATAAAAAGAAAAAGTAGAGGAAAAACAATGCGAGTCACCTCTAAGTGATGAGCGGTTATTTCGCAATCGTTTCCCGTAATGAATTCACTATGTCATTAAATACAAGAATCGGCCCAAATGATTTGAGGAACAGTCGATACTGATGTACCCTTGCGAATTCGCCAACAGTAGCAACAGGATATGAGCCATAACTTCATAATGAAACTAGTAGTCTTGAAACATTGAACTTACTCTTTCGGTCCGATAGGCGGATGTGTGAGAAAGATCTGTATGGTGTAAATGAAAATGGCGAATGTAAGCACTGCTAAGAGGTAGATGGAAGAAAACCGGATGAAGACGGCCGTCGTCAGAATCCACATTGCGAACGAAAACGCCGAGAAATGAATCGTCTGGCATATATCCGCTTCCTCCGGTTGAGGGCATGAGAACTAGAACCAATTGATTGTGTAACTATGTATTAGTATGGGTAAGTAACTTATGACATAAGATATAGCCATTGTATATACGACAATTATACGACTTGTCTGGTGAAATTTTTCAAGCCTAAAAAAAGTGGATTCGAAATTAAAAACCCTATAATTCTTTGCCTTACGAAAGAGAAGAGCCCTAAACAGCGAACTCTCCAAAATGGGTAAAACAACACAGAAAGGAGAATTTCCGAACTGGCCAGATTTTAGGACGTAATGTGGAAATTCTTGACATTTTGCGCGCTAAAATAGAAAGATTGAACTGTAGCTAGAAATGTTAATGAATAAATGAAAAGAGAGATAGGAAAAAAAGGAAAACCGAAACGAATACTTACGAATGTTGGAAGTGTCAAACAATTAAGAATTCTTAATAGAATGCTCAGCTGGATATAAATTGAAACTGATCCACAGAGAATACTTTACTATGGATTAAAACTTTGTAAAAATTCAAAAAGCCCAAAATTGACAGCGAAACTAAACCTAAACTTGAAACCTTAAGATTTCACGTTACACTTTCTATAGGTTACTGCTTCACTAGAGATTAAAAGATTTATAAGCATTTCAAATGAGGTTGATGTTAGGCCTAAATTCAACAGAATAGAGCAGATCCTTCATCGCTCTGGGACTGTCATTCAAACAGAAAAGTAAGCTGCAGTAAAATTTCGGATTTTCTGCAAGGAATCGTCATCTTCCTTCACGTTATAAAGAAACCTGAATAAAACTCTTTGAAACGGCCATATTTAAAAGTCATACTATATCAGTCACTTACAAAACACCACTATTCGACCAAAAGTATACATTTTAAGAGAGAAGGAACTGGAAAAACAGTGATGGCACTTTTCTCTGTTTCCAGAGGCACGAAAAAGTCACGTCAAATGAAAGATGGAGTATACGAGGTATACGAGCTATGACGAAACACTATGGAAAATGGTAGAGCTAAGAAAGGTAGGTAGACGCTCAAGGAAAGTTAGAAGACTCTAAGGAAAATCAACCTAAAAGGTCATATTAAAAGATTAAATTAATCTCAGTGAAATGCTTTAAAAAAAACTGCATAGTTGTGAACGTTACCGTATTTACTATCCCACAAAGGAATAGAATCGCGATGATAAGCAGAATGGCGAGTGAATGACCATGTGACGTTCGAGTGATGAATTGAGTGAAACTCTGAAATTTGGCGAATTTTTCTAGTTAGCAGAAACATCAGAGCTGATATTGATACTAGTAGAAAACAAAAAGGTTCAATAGTTCCAAGTTCTGTTATATTTCCGTTGTGTGACGCTACCACCAGTTCAATCTCTATGTAGCATTTCATCCTTTTCAGAACAACAACGTGTACTACTAAATGATTATAGATACAATAACTTCCTGACAAAACAGTACTCACCAAAATGGAATAAAGTAGTAAACAGCAAAAAAATTTCATTAGGTACAAAAGTCTGAACCTTGCACTGATCTACCCTTTGGGAAAACGCCATACGTTCGACTCCATTAAGCGTCGTAAAGGCTATTGGGTCTATTGGGACTACAGCGACTTTTAGGAGCTTAACGTTATATCTGCCCGGTGTTTTTCCAGATACATGTGGCATCAATCTGTTCATTCCGGCAAGATATGGGGTTATTTTGGCCCAGTGCGCGAGGTTGAACCAACGACCACGTGTGTATTGCCGAAAACCTCTAACCACTCCACTACTGGTGCCCATTAAGTATTACATAATTATTAAACGTCTGAAAAAAACCAAACAACAAAAGCACAGTCGTAGGAAGTTGAACGTACATGGAAGTAGTTGATATAAAGCGTCAACAATATGAAAAACATCAACGTAAGTGCTACGATGATCAGCGCCAGACTAGTGAGGAGCCTGAAAATCACTGATTGCCAGTCTATTGCGAAGAGCTATGGAAGTACAGAAATGAGAACTGTTAAACTACTGTTCCAAGACAACTGGACGAAAAAACGAAGACTTCAGTTTCTGAAATGGATCCAGAACAACTCTTTCTGGAATATTTCGAACAATAACCATAACAAAGATATTGGATATTCGAACAAAGAAGTGCTCCTCGGAGTCAAAAGGTGAAATTCGACCAACTGAATATTAAGTATTAGAGTTATCCAACTCACCTTGGCATCACCAGCATATGGTAGATACCGTAAACAACTAGGAAGAATATGCTGATGGCCAGTGCTGGTATAAACCAATGATCCATCTCTTTGTGAAACTGAAATGCCTGATAGATCTCTAAGTCGAAAAACGTCAGAATACCTGGACTTCAAGTGTAGAACATCACTTGAATTTAAAAGAAATAGAGAGTAAATAGGTTTAGGATTCAAATCTTATCACTTAAGCAAATATTGGGAGTGTCGTGGTGAAATTCGAAGACTGTTCCTTACTCAGTCAGATGATAGCTGTTAAAATAAATTCAAAGCTCTAAAGTACATTGTTAATTTAAACCATTCAAAATGAGGAGTACTACACAAGAACGACGATCGCAGTAAAAACTAACAGAAGAAAAACAAAAGAAAAAACAACTTCCTGAAATTTGGCATTCAGCCAAGGAAGTGTGTTTGCATGTTAGTTGGATAATAGTAATACTTGTACCAGTAAGGTGCGAATTTTCATTCGTCTAAAAACTAAGGGAAAAACAAGAAACAACTTCCAGACACTTGCCGTTCAGTTAGGGAAGCATGTCTGTGTATAAGCTATTACTATTCATAGAACAACCGCACTGGCCTACATCAATTTCCATACTCCTGTAGGAAGTAGTATTCATTAAAAACGCAAAATTTAGGCTAACTAGAAAAGAAATTTGACATAGCTCCAAATCTTCTTCACACCTTATGGTCATGGAAGAAACAAGAGAAGAAAAATATCGATTAACTGCTATCTTTTTGTCAGTTTCACACCAAGCACGACTGAACAATACTGGATATGAAGCCGTACCTCATCTTCTAGGCGACTGTTCTTGAATCGTAACGACACAGAATTCATGAGGCTACACTTGCTGTTAGACCGCTCCTCCTTATCGCTGGCTTCATCTAGTTGTTTTGCTTTTCTTAAATAGAAATCATGATGGAAAAACTTAGATATTTAAATCATAAAAGTAGGGATAAATGGAAATACATGGAAATAAAAATGTATTGTAAAATACTAAAATGCTAAGTACTCTAATGAATTGAGATGAACGCAAGAGATGAAGTGATAAAAGCACAGAAATAATAGGGAAAAACCGGTGGATACATTAATTCAAACGTAGAGATCGCATATGCATATGGAAGAGATGTATAAGATAAACATTAACTTGTAACAGATTTAAATTACAATCTCGCTGACAAACTTATGGCGCAAATTCTGATAGTTTCCATGGATTTCTCTTCTATCTAAGAAAACGAGCTGGCATGCGTATATTTAGAGTTTAAAGCCCTAATTTTCGAGTAGTAAAGGAAAAAGGATAAAACATTCAGCGAGGAATGCAGTCGACCTTAAAAAGCATCGTTAGAGGTGATTGAATGCATACCTGGCCTATACAATAAATTGCGGTGGCCTAATGATGTTTGGAGTCAGCGCTGCTTTTATCCTAAAAAAGTAGGGCACCAATCTGGTCGACCTAAGAGGGACGGAAGAGTTAATGAGCCCGGGATATGGGGTCGAACCAACAATCATGTGTGTATTTCAAGTGCAACTACAATAACCACTGCGCTAAATGTGCCCTAGTTCTAAAGTAATATTGATGTCATTGGTCGAAACTTTTTTAATACTGAAAAAATTTGTGAGAAATTGATCCATGATGGCAAAAAATTTTAGGTGTAAAAATCTATGTGTACATTGTGATAAATACATAGTTAATCTTGAACTGTTTGAAGTAGAGCGCGTGCAGCGCAGTGGTCCAGTGGTCGGAGGCGTCCTGCAGCACGCACACACTTGGGAATCGATCCCCGCGCCCAAGACTCACCAAGCCTTCCATCCCTCCGGGGTCGACAAATCGGTATCAGACTTGTCTGGGAGATAGCAACAATGGATCGATACATCGGAAGATCACCGCGAGTCATTGTAAAGGCCAGATATGCATTCAACCACCTTGCTTAATGAAGTCGAATGCATGACGCATCCCTCAGGCATTGATCAATAGCGAGAGCTTTATCCTTTTTTATGGCTGAAGTTAGTTGTTAAGTGCATTTAACCATAGGTTGCCAAACAAGCAAACATTTTTTTGCAAGCATTTCATAAAAATCCGTTGCTATCATTATTTTTCGCTACCTCGAAATATCTTTTACATCAAGTTTGGGGTTCCTTTTGCATTTTCACAAAGACTTACCTCTTTTTAGTATTTCCTATTGATTTAATTTGAGGATCGATAGTCGACAAGGTCTGTAGAAGACGATTGATTCCCTGTGGTACTGTAACCATCGAAAACCTGCGATAATAATGATAATAATAACAACGACTATAGTGGTAGCAATAGTAATTTAATGATAATGATCGACGATAAATAACAATAATCATTAGTAATTTAATAATTAATAATTTTAATAATTAATCAATTACAATCTTAACTCTTTTATTTACTGCCTTTTTCTTCTTAATGGCAGGGTATGTTGTGAAATATAACTCGTATGAAGTGCTGAGATATTTGCAAAACTCCGGACCACAGGTGAATGCAGTGGGGAACGAAGACGCGCTGTTGTCCTTACCGGGGAGCAGCGCACTTCACCACTACACCATCCGGGTCCTTCGCTTTGCATGTATCTCAGCT